TATACAAGATGTACAAGTTTGACTTGCAGCCAAAGATGTTTACCGAATGCCAATGGAAAATATCATTTAAAAGGCATCGAATTGGAGATACACAAATGGCAAACGTTTCCCAGGGGCAGTCAAGCGATGTAAAATACGGGGAGGGAGGGGGCCGTCATGAATGGACACACTATATGGTCTCTTGTTAGTCTTTGACTTTGACAGTTGCTGTTCAAATTGGCGGAAAAAAACGAAAAAACGGTAGTAAAGCGAAGAAAAGAGTTGCTCGAGGGCCATTAAACGAGTCGTGAATGAGCTGGCCATTAGCCGAGCATTCTGTAAACTCGGTAATTGACCGGCGCTTAAGGATTGGTCCACCTTTTTTTTTGTTTTTTGTGCCACATACTCCATTGTGGGGCGTTACACGTGCGTGCTAGTTTAAAATTTTCCAAAAAAAAAACACTAAATAACCGCTAGTTAAGTTTGCTTTGTCATAACTAACAGTTTGCATTTGAGTTTTTGTTCGCAGCTTTTGTTGAAATTTTACAAGTCACGCACTGATTTGGCAATTTGCATGCAGCGACCGCTAGATGGCGCCAGCACGTGCTCACTGTCGGGGGATTCCCCTGTTTTTTCCACCCACTTCATTCCTCCCCATTCCCTTAACACGCACCCAATCAATATTTGAATTGCTTTTGGTTGGCATTCTTTTTTTTTTTTGCTTAATATTTTAATTTAAACTTTTGCTGTAAATTTCTTTTCAATAAGCTTTGAATTAATGCCACCGCCCACACTGCGTATGCGCAATATGCAGTTGATATGGAAATGCTGAAGGATTTTATTTGTGTTTGGGCTACGGGTGTAAGCGTATGCTCAATTCGATTGGCATTTTAGCCAAATTAAATATTTCTTCAATGTGTGTCACTCGATTCGCCCTTCTAATGGCGGAACTTTACATGTTCAAGTATTAATTTATTGCCAATCTAAATGCGAGGATGAATGCACAGGAAGTGGCATTGGCTGTGGGGTACATTTTCCTGCTTTTCCATTTGCATTCGAAGTCGGGTAGATTATTCGAAGGACTTTAGGTGGAAACACAGGGGCGGGAAAGGGTAAATAAAAATTAATGAAATGGTATTAATCATTCTACTGATATCAATGATTAATCAATAATATTTGACATTTGTTATTGGGTCAGCAATAGATGGCTCTTTTGTGTTTCCTCATTTAATGTTTATGTAAGTTGTATATACATTTTTTAATACCTTCAATAATGCCATGCCTCTTCTCTTTTGGGGTTTTTATGACTTGATCCTTTCCATTAACCTCGTCCCCGTCAAACGGGCATTGATATCGATAACAGACGCTTGAACCTGGTTGCCTTCTTACCCACAAACCCAAACTTTTCCCCCACACCTACAAACCAACTTTTTTCATGCTCCATTGTGTTATAAATATTCATAAAGCGCTCCGCCATTTTTCGTTGCGACCGCAGCAACTAAAGCCTTGATTTCTTGCAGTTTGCTACACCCACAGGCACACAAACACGCATACATGTTACCAATACCTTGCCAATATGGCTGAAATAACCCCCCCAACCCCCCATCGCCATTTTCCACCCCTCTTGTGGGTGCCACCCACTGCCCATTTAACCGCAAGCCATGCTTCTAATGCCGCGTTGGCATAAATTTAAAGCAGCAGCTGCGGTTTTTCCACTGCTTTTTCTCTCTCGCTTTTCAGTTGTTGTGGGTGGGCAGTTGGGTGGTTCTGGGATTTGCTCTCTTTTAACAAAGTATAGAGGAGAAATGGAGAAAGAATATTACAGAAACTAACCCAGGTAGGGCTTTAAAAACAAAAAAAGCGTTATATGCTACTAATTGATTTTTCAAACAAACCCCCGTTTCAAGCCCCGAAACAGATCCCCTTCGCAATGTTGCGGCTGCCACTGCGCTTTTGTTTGGCATTCAATTAACGGGAATTTGCATTTTATCTATGGATACACTTTGCCACTATATATTTGGTATACCTCGCCATCGCCATGTCACCCCAGTGGGTGGCTCGCCCGTAAAAACAAAAATCTCAAGTGCTAAATCAACAAAACAAAAGAACAGCGTTCGATAAAGTTGTATTTAAATTCGTGTGGAATGCTCGCTGCTGTACTGCCTTTAATTACAACTCATAGCATTGATCTCCGGAATCAATCGGCCTAAAGCTCTTCAACGACGTATGAGAAAACAAAAAAATTCCATTACCCAAGTGTTTGGAGGGGAAATAAACACATAAACCTAGATTCTCCATTGCCGTGGGTTGACTATTAAGTTTATGCCAGTAAAGGGTAATAGTTAAGTAATAAAGTGTACAACAAACCTTTAAAATTAATATGTTCTCTGTTTATTTTCATTTGTAATCAGTGAATAAAAGGTTAAATTAAAATAATGTTTTAAAACTGCTTTTGCTTTTGTAAAATTTATATAGCAACCCTCGCTTAACATCGGATCCACTTCATTGCTCGTCAATAAACATTGAACTTAGCATCCGAGTTGTTTAAATGCTGATTATCAATACTTCTGTAAGAAATTAGCAGTATTATGACAGCATTAGTTTCACTATTTTAATTACGGTTGTAGCAAGGTCTTAATTTAGTTGTGCGAACCGATTTTAGATTAAATTATTATATATGTTTATGTATATATATTTGAAAAAACATCATCAATACATGGAACTTAATGTATACAAACTATGAAGATTTTAGGGGACCTAATTTTATTCTTTTCATATTTCAGAATATATTTTCAAAGTGCAGCAATATTAAAAACTTTTTTAAATGATTATATTAAACATACCTTTAAAGGAATTTCTTTAAAACCATATTTAAGATTAATAAATAAATTTATAAAGTTAAGATCAAAAAGATGCTACATCACGTAGCTTGGCATGGCATCCACTGAAATGAAGCGGAAACCCCAAACATTGTTCCGCCCACCCTTTACACAGATATCTAGATGGATCTGGCCTAGACTGTTAATGATATCGCTATCACTCATCCCCCGCCCACCAAAGCATAATGTAATGGGCTCAATAACAATTATTATCGGGCGGGCAGGTTCATAAAACGCGATGGACACTGCGTGCATACATAAACAATACCTGAAGGGAAGTAGCACCCCAGATGACCAGCAATTGCAGTTGTGGTTTTAAGCTGGAGTTGGAGTTGTGGTTGGGGTCTCAAGGTCGCTTTACACACTTAATTTTACATTGGAGCTGCATTGTCTGGGATTCGGTGGTAAGGGGAGCACCACATCGACGGGGAGTGGTCCCACCAACCGGTTTTGCAGCAAAACGATCTTGTTGATCTTCTGTTGCAGCATCTTCTTCACTTTGATCTTCTTGCAGTTTGCCTCAATTTGGCAAGATCGCAGGAGCAACAACAATGCCCGGCATGACATTGAATTGTAAATGCAGGCGATAAAAAATGTTGAACGCATAAAGTATACGAATAGCGAAGATGACGAAGAAGCCGAGAGGTAAATAAAATGTAAGCCGACATCCAATGCATGTGAATTTTTTCTTGCGCTGCGCGGAAACCACGGGGGCTTTGATATAGAGATGATATCGTGATATGAGTTTCAATAGGGTTTTATTATTTTACTTAAGAAACTCCAAATTATATAGTTTATATTACAAATTAATCTTTCTTAGAATTATTCAGAAATCCAAACCCATAAAATTACATTATTTGCAGTAATTGGTTTTTTAACATAATGGTTCCATTATTTTTCTGGCCTATTTTGCAAAAATTTACCATCCAAATCGATATCACATACTCGTACTTATTGGTACTTTTTAAGACCCAAAAATTTGTTAACAGCAAAATTTTGTAAGGTGCAACTTTATTTGACAGTTTTGTGGGGCTACAATTTTATTGTTTCTGAATAATTGTTGAACCAATTTTAACTCGATTATTTATTCAAGTGGCACAAGTCTGTACAAAAAGTGTTACTCTCACCTAAGAGCACTTGAGTTTTCTATTTTAGTCACCTGTGTTTTTTTTCGATAGTCGAAACACGTGCCAAGCCCGTTGCAAAAGGTCAGACATATGCAAACAAAGTACTTCTTTTTCGCAATGCCCGCTGTTGCATGCCCTTTATCCATTGTGCATATCCCCCTTGGAACCCTCTCGATCCAGCAACCCAGCAACGCACCGCCCCACAAACCCCCAAAAACCACCCATTTCCCACCCCCTGAACCTTTGGTCAGCTGCGGCTTCATCCTCGGATTCGTTGTAAAAGACATTGACATTTTTTTTCTGCCCGCTTGCTCACTTGCTTTTCTCTGTACTTTGTTGTCGTTGTTTAATGGATTTATACATATTTTTTAGCCAGTTGTTGTTGGTGGTGGTGGCATCGCATTACGTCACTTTCACTGTAGTTTGCGGCTTAAGGCAGCATTTGTTTGCCGGCGTTGTTATTGCTGGCATTGTTTGCACTTGTTTTTGGTACAAACAAGCAAATTGCAATAAAAATGCTCAAATTTATGGTCCACTGGCATACATATATTTTGTTTGGGATGATTTATCCGAGACTTTTGTTCGCCTTGCTTTCCGGCGGCACAATTTATGTCCGTTTACATGGTAAACTTTTGCTGTTTTACCAGTTATTCGTTCACGCTTTTTGGTTCAAGTTCATCAGTTGGCCACTGACGACCGTTGAATTCGCAACTGGGTCCAGGTTCCATAGTTATCGTCTTTATAAATGCGTTGTTGGGTTTCACATTAGACTCGTAAATCTACGACTATTTTGCGCTGCGTAAACACTCATCACAAGTTGATTTATCAGAAAATATTTATCTCTGTGAATTTGTTCATTAAGCATACGCCATGTAAACGTGTGGTACATCCACATTACGCATACGCCCGGCTGGCTCATGGAGTATGCAATCACTGTTGGGGCATTGATCGATAAGAATCGGGGCGAAACAAAGTCATTAGTCCAGTTAACGTGGCCCGACTAAACAGCTGCGTAATGAGGGTAATTTCCCAGTTGCCAAATGTCAGCCAATTTTGGCCAGTTATTTTGGATGGGTCCATCATCGAAGCACTTAAACATGCGGCCTCTGCTAAGTTTGATTTTTTTTATATTTTTCCGAGCTCTTCAAGTACATTGTGTGAGTTGTTTAAATAAACCAAAATAGATCACATATAGAATTCTGTTTTTATACAGATAAATCTGAGGATCGAGGAGTTCTATGCCAAATCTTTTGTACCCGATGATATCCATTTGGACTATGCCATTGACAATTTTGAGAAAATTAATTTTAATCTAACAGTTGAAGTTCCTTTTCCTGGGAAACTCCTAATGAATATTTTCGTAAGGAAGCTGTCGGATATGGTGGGTGGATCCGATCAAGTAGATCTAGTGCGTTTCAAGAACAAAGATCTCTGCAAGCTCCTCGATGCCCTTCGCAATATCACACTGGGGGAGATCCCAGGCGAAAGTCTTTTGCCCGCGACCTTCGTTATCTCATGTCCTTTGGTTCCAGGCTTCTACTATGTGCAAAGTAGCACCATTGATGCCAAATTGGTTCCCTTTCGAATACCGGATGGCAGATATTTGGTACTTTTGGAGCTTATACAAGTCTATGAAGAAGTTATCAAGATTGTTTCCTGCAGGATCAAGTTTGCCATGAAGTACCCACCTGGATATACTGAACCATCAGTGTTTAAAAGCAGCGAGGAAAAGTATGAAACGACTAAAGATCCCATATTAGAAATTGATCAGCCAAGTTCTGAGGACACCGAACCTAACGAAGATTCAACCGATTACCAGTAAAAATTATTAAAGTCTTTATAAAAAGCGTGATAGATAATAAAAGTTGAAAACAAAACTACAACTACTTTGCATAGAAATGCAAGAAAGCCAACAATTAAGAAATGTTGGCCAATAAATGTAAAAATATGAAATATTTATAGTGTTAAAAAAAAAACTAAAATTCCGATAGATTAATTTTTATACCCTTGCAGAGGGTATTATAATTTTGGTCAAAAGTGTGCAACGCAGTGAAGGAGACATCTGACCAAAAGTATATATCTTGATCAGGATCACCCCTGAGTTGATATACCATGTCCGTCTGTCCGTCTGTCCGTCTGTCCGTCTGTCTGTTTCTACGCGAACTAGTCTCTCAGTTTTAAAGATATCGAATTCAAACTTTGCACAACTTCTTTCCTTTGCACGCAGTATATAAGTCGGAACGGCCGGGATCGGCCGGCTATATCCTATAGCTGCCATATAACTGATTGATCGGAAATGCCATAACTTTGGTGTTTGTCAAGTTAGGAAGTTGGGATTTTCTATGGGTTTTATATTTGGCCACTCAATCCGACATACCAAATTTCAAAGGATCGGCCGACTATATCCTATAGCTGCCATATAACTGATTGATCGGAAATGCCATAACTTTGGTGTTTGTAAAGTTAGGAAGTTGGGATTTTCTATGGGTGTTATATTTGGCCAGCCAATCCGACCTACCAAATTTCATAAGGATCGGCCGACTATAACTGAACGATTGGAAATGCCATAACTTTGGTATTTTTAAAGTTAGAAAGTTGGGATTTTTTATGAGTATTAAGAATGCATCATATGAATAATTTTGGAGAATATAATTTACAGAGTATTCTGCAAGGGTATATCAACTTCGGCTCCGCCCGAAGTTAGCTTTCCTTTCTTGTTTTGTATAATTTTGTTGTTCACACCCTGCAAACTTTTTACACAATTTCTGCAAATTTGTACAACCTTTCATTCATCAAGCTTTGGGAGGGCAATAAAATGAATTGTCTCCTACAACAAATTCAGCAAGATTGAGACATCTCACACATGTTACAGCCACGCCCATATAAGTTAATTGAAAGGCCCAGGGGCATGGGAAATGTGTTAAACTTCAAATAAATCTGCGCGAGAGAAGCCGACGACAAAGATTGACTCGAAGATATTAATTCAACCATATCTTTTACTTTGTCATTTTGATATTCATTCCACACATATTTATTTTCGAATACAATCTTTGGAATGTTTTGAGTTAAGTTGATATGGTGGCGGTATTCTCGAATGTCCGTAAATTTACATATTCAGAGCAGGGCAAATGTTTCCGGTTTTCGACTGCAAGATCGTAGTCATACTTCCACGATGACTGAGCAGAAAAGCTTGGCCTCCGTATCAGTCTTAGTCTGGTTTTTATACTGCAGCCCAACCCACAATGGACCCATCGATTAGCTTTACTTTTATTGATTCAGTGTTCCACTATTTAGGCTTGACAGCTGTTAAAAGTGCCAAATATTTATGGATCCCATTCTCAAGTGATAATTTATTTAATTGGCTTGGCCATTGATTGATCAATTTGAATGGCGCATAGACAGATGTTCATGAACTTGAGGTGGTTGCGGTTAACATACATATATAACTGGGTGAATGTAGGCTTGTTGATCTAAGAACCAGTAATGTAACTTCCTCCTATGACGATTATTATCGATATTGTCTTCTTCCTCATTATTTGTAAACATCACTCTGCTGACCGCATTCGAAATGACCTTCATTTGAGCGTGGTTTTCATTTACCCAGTGTGATTATTATTTAATCAGCTATCAACTTCTTCAGTGGCTTAACCGAGCAAACAAAAGATGCCACCAAAAGGCAAGTAAACAGGGCGGCCTGGTTTTGGTGTTTTGGTTTTCGGTCTCGCTGCTAAAATCTGCCCAAAAAACACCTGCCCAACCGGACCACGCCCCATGGCTCTGCTTTTGGCCAGGTTTTTTTGTTAATACTTCTTTTCGCTCACCGTTTTATTTATGCGCCGGTCTTTTGTTTATGTATCGTTCATTTGTCCTCTTCTCCTTTGCAGACTGCAGTTTACATATGACATTATCATCGATGGTCACCAAAAGTTCGGCTATAAAAAGCCCCGATCGCAGATGAAGCTAGGTGCAGTCGATTTTTGGATTAATCAGCGTAATCATCTTTCCAGCAGAAGTTATCATGAAGTACCTAGCCCTGGTGAGTTAAAGGATTTTATTTCATTAAGGAGTGATAAAAGGTTTTTATCCAATCGATATTCAAGTTGTTAATAAATTAACTTTGCAAATCCTTTTCTGCAATTTATATGCTGATTTAAAACCATAATTAATATATAGATTTATTTTTGAGCTGATTCTTAAAGAATCCAAATTTAGAGCAAATTTAATGTGAATGCTATTAATTATATTGTTATATTGTTAAAAGCATAGAATATCTTAAAATTGATCCTTTAAAGTTCAGTGCGAGTTTACAAAATTTATATTTAGATGTGAAATTAAAAATGTGGAGTTAAAAAGATTTTTAGATCATAATTGATTTTTTTTGTTCAAAAACGTTCTTTTAACATACTATTGTTACTACATTTTTTTAAAAATATTTTATCTATCTATTTTAAAATTGCCACCCACATTTTCCTTTTATAGTTTGGGTAAATCTTTGTTAAATAAAATGTTTGGACTTATTTTTCAGACCCTTTTTGTGTGCCTTCTGGCCATTGTTCTTGTGTCTGCGGTGCCCGTGGATGAGTCCTTGATCGGGGACAACATCTACCAGCCGGCCTTCGACGATGTCCAGCGTCCCCAGGATCCGCAGGCCATCTTCAAGCTGAAGAAGCTGCTCAAGCTGAAGAAGCTTCTGGGTTAGAAGGCATTTGCCAGCAGTCCGCTAAGCTCAAATCAAAATCTAGTCCACCAATGGGGAACCTTGCCGCCCACACTGCATTCGATTTTCAACGCCGTTTTGTTTAGACAATAACATTAGTACACACACACGCACATACATACGAGTAAAGTATACGTAATCGTAACTAAAATAAATGTAATTTTCATATAAGTCGGCTTTCTTATATCACCGGGGTCCGGGGATCCCCATCTTTATCCGAAAAGGAGCTAATGACTGGCAGCGGGTCGAGTTTTTGCTTAGCCTGATCTAAGTGGAAAACTCGTTTCGAATCGTTTCTGGGTAGAGAGTGTGAAAAGCGAGCGGAATCTTCCTTAAACGCGTGCATTGGCCAATCGACGTCCCACATAAGTGAAAAGTCGGCGGTGTGCTAATTGTGTGCCATACGGGGGCAGGTAGTGAGATTAATGGGCTATGCTTTTCATCAATGAAGTTTTTATAAATTAAACTGCTTGAGGTTAACTGGTTTCATTAAATAAAGAAGTTAAGCCTTTTATGCGTTATAACGTTTTTTCATTGTTTTATTTAAATTTTCGTTTTTCCAATTAATCGCCTGAAGGATGAAAATGTTAAAAATAAATTATTTTACTAATAAGTTACACTCTAAAAGGTGTCTTAGCTAGACTTTTTGGATTAATTTTAGATTTTTTATGTAATAGCTCTTTTTATATATACCCTTTCTAATTTTAAAAAATATTGTTATTTGAATCGAATCTTTAATATGATATGTTATATATACAGTTTCAGAAAATGGAATTTTAAATACAAATTCCCCAGGGAGTGTAAGTGTGATGAAAGTTAAGTGGAATAAATCGTTGCGTTATAGAAGAAATTAAAATATAACCAACGTATGACCTCGAGTAAATCAATAACACTACACAAATTTTGTAAATATTTTCAATTTCCGAAAATTATTCCTTTACTTCCTGGTTTCTTTTCCTAAAAAAATAAAATATTCGTTTACTTCGAGGTTTCTTTTATAAAACAAAATATTTTTGGATGTTTTGTTTAAGTGGTAATTGCATGTAATGTGTATGGCTCTATGTTTTAAAACTTTGAATAAAAAAAACACAAATTCAACAGATTTTACTGTTTTAATGTAGAAAACTAAGCACTGAGAATGATTGTTGAAACTCTCTCATATCCCAAACAAAAGACTGAAGAAACGAACCTTTTTCCGATGAGCTTTGTTTGTTTTTTTCTCTTGAGATCCCGCGTTTTACTCAAGAAATCCATGTTAAAGTTTTGTTACCAAATGCATTTTTTATTTGATTTGCCTTTTTTTGTTCTTAAGACCTAAACACATAGTTAAGCTAAAATTCCATGAATAGTATGTCTGATTCCTAACCCAGGAACAGGAGCTTCTTGAGCAGCTTCAGCTTGAGCAGGAAGGACTGGTCGTCGGAGGGGTTGACGGACTCGCTGCCAGGACCTTCGAGACCTTCAGGAATGGCCTCCTCGCGGGGAGCAGCACTGGTGACCATGAAGCACACGGCCAGGCAAAGGAACACGCTCTGTAAAGGAGTAATAATGGAGAGTCCGCTGTAAGTTAAGTCTTTGGGTAATCCATATTTAAAGACGCACCAGAAGCAAGAATTTCATGTTGACTGGGCTTGGGTTGGGCTGGAGTTGTATGATCGATGAATTCGCACTGCGCGTTGACAGACCTGCTTGCACTGATCACTGGACCCCGCCGACCCGTCTATTTATATGCCAGTGCCAGTGCCAGTCAGTTGCCAATGAGTTGCTCGGCCGGCAGACCGCTCGTCTTTCATAGAAATTAAAACAACGTGTTGCTGCGGCCCAAGAGACCGTGATTCACCAGTCGGGAGGGGGGGAATCAATTTGTTTGGACTATTAAATGTGATTTTAGCCCACCACGCATGTGGAGCAATGGCGATAACAAAAGCCAAGTTCTCCTTTTTTTGGCTACCTTTTTGTGGTTTCATTGTTGGGCTTTTGAGCCTGATGTTTGGGCAATTTGTTGACTTGTGGCTTCTCCGGCTTCGCTTCTTTTTGCTAATCGGTGTCTCCTTGGTTCTGGGTTCTATTTGAGCAGGCCATTAGCTGCGAGCGGATTCTCTGCTAAATATTAATTAGCGTCTTGACATTGGCCTTAGCGCCGAGATTAGCCATTAGTTTTTGTTCACACCTACATAATAGGTTGGTGTAGCTAAATAAACCGAAAATAGTTACCTCTTCAAGTGTGAATGCTGGAAGTTATTCGATAGCCTGTCGCGAAAACTTGATAAAATTGTGAAATTTGAATTTGTACCGCCATATTGGCCAAGCGGCCCTGCCAACTTTTGGAATTTTAAAAACTGCTGTGTAAAATACATGTCAAATGATGTTTTTCGAACGTTTATGTCGGTGTAACAAATTCATATCATGATTTAACAAAAGTTCCAGATTTTTTAAATCATTAATTAAAAATCTGTCATACCTTTTAAGTAAATATCTCAGATTGGACCGAATTGCCTTTTCTGATTGTTGTTTGCTTCATTTTCGTTTTGCGAATTTCGTTTTGTTTTAAAAAATGCGGATGCCTGCCGCCAAAAAAGTATGGATACAAAAATAACACTTTCTGAAATGTGTGTCAAACTGTCTTTGTTGCAAACGTTGTTGTTAATACCCAGCAATCTGTGAATATGGTTTTCTTTATATATAGTTTTAAATTACCTTTTTATTCGAAATATAATAATTAAGCGCCCATTTGCCAGATAGCGAAAAGATCGTCGATCTGGCAGCGCCATGCCATTAAAATATAAAGATGGACATCGGCTCTCACATAATAAAACTAAAAGCATCGATGAATCGATTAAAATTCCACCTCTAATTAAACAATAAAAAAAATACATATAGGGAAAAAGGAAACCAAATTAGACAATATATAAGTTATCGAATCGCAGTCAGTATAAAATTCTAAGTGCACACCCATACATACACCCGCAGGAGAAGAATAAACTGGAACAATGACGGGTTCATTCAGTGTGAAGCTCAAGGCCAAAAAAGGTCAATTCATTGTAAACGACCTAAATGAGCATACGACGCTGGGCGAACTGAAGGCGAAAATAGTCCAGGCCACCGACATTCAGGCGCCCCAGCTGCATGTCCTGGTGGGCTATCCTCCCAAGCCGCTGGACCTGTCGCAGCAGCAGGAGCAGCGCGACCTGAAGACCGTCGGAATTAACAGCGGCGAGACCCTGATTGTGGAGGAGAAGGCTGCACCCACTGCCACTGCCTTTGTGCCTGCAACCCCCACCCTGGATGATGACGAAGCGCTGGCGCGTCGTCTGCAGGCAGAGGAGGAAGCCCAGCTCCTGGAGGCAACCGGAGGAGTACCCGCCCAGGTTCCCGCGCTCCCGGTGGCGCCCACGGAAAGCGGCCCGAACGGCGACTTTAACGGTATCCTGCTGAAGAAGGTGGTGCCAGCGGATAACTCGTGCCTCTTCACCAGCATCCGCTTTGTGCTCAACGGCAAAGTGGACAACGAGGGCAGCGAGATGATGCGTCATATCATCGCCCAGGAAGTGGCCGCCGATCCGCAGAGCTACAACGACGCCGTGCTGGGCAAGTCGAATGCAGAGTACTGCGCCTGGATACAGAAGGCGGACTCGTGGGGCGGCGCCATCGAGGTGTCCATCCTGTCTAACTACTACGGCATCGAGATCGATGTGGTGGATATCCAAAATGCAATTATCAACCGCTTTGGAGAGGACAAGAACTTTGGACTGCGTGTCTTCCTGCTCTTTGATGGCATCCACTACGATCCACTGTACATGGAGACCTCCCAGAGTGCTGCTCCGGCCACCATTTTCCCCGTGGAGGAACTGGGCGTCTATCAGCAGGCGGAACAACTGGCCAATGAGGCACAGTCGTCGCGCCAGTACACCAATGTGGACAAGTTTACACTGCGCTGCATGCAGTGCGATGTAAGGCTGGTTGGCCAGGTGCAGGCCCAGGAACACGCTAAGCAAACCGGACACGACCGCTTCGGGGAGATTTAATACGTCCTGATCTTCGGCACCGTCTACATTGTGGCTTTCATGCTGTTCGCCTACTACCTGCTCACCACCTAGCCACAATCGCCGTGCGAGGAGTCACCGCAGTAGCTAAATTGTACTACCTCCACATCACCGCCTACTTAAGTTATTGATTATTGAGCCAGCCTCTTGTTTTCATAGTCCTTCTTTAATCCCTCTCGGAACGCAATAAAGTATACATCTTCATCTACACTAGACTAGGCATCGAGTCTTTAATACTTCTCAGTGCTAGGAGGCCCAGGGCGGGGTCATGGCGGCCGGGTTCTGGAGGTACGACATCACCACAGCGCTGACACTCAGCATGAAAGAGGAGAGCACCTGTTTGGCGTCGTCACTGGCCCGGGAACTGGCGAAGCTAATGCAGGAACAGTAGAGGGCAAACCAGGCGCACCACTTGAGCTGCGGGAATAGTAAATACGGATTAATGCCAAGTCATAAGGGTGCAATAACCGGGTATACCTTCATCATAAGCCCGCACATGGAGAAAATCATGCCCAGTATGTTCATGTAATCCGGCATCATATCCTCGTTGGCGCCGCCACTTTGGCCCTGGTTCTTAGGTGCCTTGTAGCGGTTAATCTTTTCCTTGCGGCGCGGGTCGATGCTCATGTTTAAATTATTTAATTTTCACTAATTTAATCCAAAACCAGGTCAGATTGCAAGGGAATGTGAATGTCAGTTAGCTTTCATGGCGTTCTTGTGTGAATGGCAACCTTAACCCAGGTGGCAACGCCTACCGGCTGTTTCTTTATTTACACCACCGCGGGAAGCGTGTTTGAAATAGTTATTTTATTACATAAAAATCACAGAAAACTGAAAGAAAAACAATGGCTCTGCGGTTGCTTAGCCGTTCAATGTCCTTGCACATGCACAGCATGCAATTGAACGCCACCAGGAGGTTGATAAATAGTTATGATTTCAGTCGGCCAGCGCTTACTCCTGTGCCCTGGTCGTTAGCACATAATCGACTGCTGCACGTGAGGATTACGGATCAGGAAGCCGGCTTACAGACCAAGCGAGAAGCCAACAGAAACCAGAATCCTTTCCGGGAAGAAGTCTTTGAAGAACCTACCACAGAAGCACCCAAGCAGCGCCACAAATTTAGACCAGAAAATAAGCTTAAAGAGAAGATCCCCAAAAAAGTGCACGACTTTGGGGATCCGGATACCTTTGGTGATACCAAAATAAGTGATACTCAAGACCCCGGAGATGTCGAAGAAGATGAGTTTATCAGCAATCCGACGAGGCGATCAAAAAAACTGCAGGCCGTGGAATATGCTCGCCAGATCAAGGATCTTATGAAGGCAAACCGGCTAAATGAAGCTATTGCCGTGCTGGAGCAGCGTATGCTGAGGGAGGATCGCGTCAAGCCGGACAAGTACATATACAATCTGCTGATCAGCGGCTGCGCCAAGGCGGGATACACACGCAAGGCCTTTGCACTGTACACTAAAATGCGTCAGCGGGGCCTCCAAGTAACCGGTGGAACATATACCTCGCTCTTTAACGCCTGCGCCAATGCCCCATCCTTGGGTGATGGCCTGGCTAAAGCCCAGATTCTGCGGGAAAACATGCTGGAGAAAGGCTACGAACCGAATGTAAAGAACTACAATGCAATGATCAAAGCCTATGGAAGATGCGGGGATGTAGACACTGCCTACATGCTAGCCGACGAGATGGTGGAGCGCCGGATGGAACTGAATGCAGATACGTTTAACTTTCTGCTGCAGGCATGTGCCAGCAACTCAGAACATGGATTCCGGCACGCTCTGCTCACTTGGCACAAAATGCTCCAGAGCGGAATCAGCCCGGATTACTATAGTTTTAATGCAATCTTAAGATGTGCAAGGGATTGTGGCTTTGGTGACTTGGACTCGATGCGGGAGGTTATCCAACAGATTGCTCCGGCAGCAACTGGGAAAAAACCCGTTCTTCAGTTGGAGGAAGGCGAAAAAGATAATTTACCCAGTACATCAGCTAGCGCCACTTCGTTGCCTGCCCAAATCGAGGTTTCCACAACATCAAACGAGCTGGAACTACCCAATCTTTTGCTACCCCAGCCTCATCTGGGGAGTTTAGTTGCATTGGAGGATGTAACACGTCCACATGAGCGGTTTCTTCTTCTTGGCGGCCTGACTGGTTTTCTGGAGCACATGAAGCAGCACAAAATCACACCGGACATAGAAACCTTTACTACAATGTTGGAGGTGATACCACCTACGAACGCCGCAGAGAAGCAGTTGCTCAGTTTTGTGCGAAAGATTGGGCTCAAGGCGGACGTGGACTTTTTCAACATACTGATCAAGAAGCGCTCGATGCGCTTCGATTACGAGAACGCACGAGAGGTGCTTTCAATGATTCGTACGGCAGGCTTGCGACCGGACATTGTCACCTATGGTGTACTCGCTTTGGGTTGCCGCACCCAAGAGGAGGCAAGGGAACTGCTGCAACAGATGCAAGTGGCGGGCATTAAGATGAACATGCCCATCCTGGGTGCAATGCTACGACAGGGATGCGCGAACAAATCCTTCGGCTACATAAACGAGATCATTCAGTTGAGTCTGGAAGAGGGAATCAAGCCGAATGAATCGTTTCTCCGTCACCTGCACAACTTTCACAGGGGATGCGCAAGAGCAATTGATGCCAGGGTAAGTATAGTAATAGATTTCCCCTAGCAAAATCATTAATTGTAATCACCTACAGCATCCTTCGACCAAGACTGTTGTTTTCAAGAAGGGGCACTCAAAGTTCTGTGATAAATACCGTCTGTACTACGAGGAGCTGGGCTTAGCTGGTCTCAAGCTAGAAGATGCCATCGCTAAGGTGAAGGAGCGCCCATATGAGAAGTATAAGGTGCCGCCCGTTGAAGGAATGGAACCACTCAAGCACGAACATTTGAAACGCAAAACTAAACCGCGAAAGTATATCAAGAAGATTAAGATAGATGAGCTGCAGGATGACCCTCCCAGAGAGCCTTTAAAGAGGATAGAATAAGTTTAATATTGTAGCTGTTATTAAAGTTTATTATTTGTTAACCAATCATCGTCCTCTTGCGACCGCGGGCTCTCACCTCCTCGAACTTGGATAGTACTGCCTGCTCGTCCTTTCCGCATACCCTACGGTAGGCTGTAAGGATGTGCTCAAAGAGATATGGTTGCTCGCTGTGGGTGCTCAGTAGCGCCCGTTCTAAGACGTACAGATCCACGCCCTTGTCCTCAGTCGCCTGATTGTAGTGGCTTAATCCGAAATCAATTAGTATAACGTCGTAATCGCCGCCCTTGGGATTGATAAGGATGTTCGACGTCGTCAGATCTCCGTGTATTATATGATTCGAGTGCATTTTCCCAATGATTGCACCGATTCTCGTACAGAACTCCTGCAGAGATTGCTTCGCCTGATCCTCGCTCTGGCTGGCTACGGTATCCTGTATGAACTGCTTGGCCGTCTGGGCTTTGTCGAAGTATTCCATATACAATTTGTGGGTGTTAAGGTCCGAGTGTATGATCCTTGGAGCCATAATCCCAGCGGCCAGACATCGTCCCGCCGCCTTTGCCTCGGCTTTCATGCGCTGCCGCGTGATTTGGGTGTCCAGTTCCGGGTGACGGTACTTCTTCACAAACCGTTCCTTGATCAGGCAGGCCTCTCCTTTGAAATCGCCCAGATATAAACGCCCTTCGGCGCCTTGTTTTAGAATTTCCAGAGACATTTTATTATTCTACTAATAAGAAACCGGCGCTTTCGTCTGAATAAAAGTGGCAACTCCACTCATGGGCGTGGGGGTAAGCAGATTCCTAGGGTTACATTTATTAAAAAAAAAATAATAATAACCATCTATAAAAAATACAAATATTTTAAACTCAAAAACTAATTTAATATTTTAAAGTGGGAATTGCTATCCATTTATTTAATACAGATTTTATATTCTTTAAAAAATAATAGATTATTCAATTTCTTAACTGGCCCTTCGTAAAAGTTACCATCTGTGCCCATGATCTTCCTTCAAGCACTCACAACGAAACGCATGCAGACCAGCTGTCAGCTGTTTGCTGTTTTGATATTTACTCTCCGCCAATCCAATCTCCGTGTGATTCATCATTAGGAAAAACCATCACAAATATTTAGAAGTCTCGAAGCTAAGGTCTAAACTCTCACAAAATTGCAAAATGTTCAACAATCTGTTCGGAAAGAAGCCCACCGTAAAGGAGCAGCAACGGGAGAACGACCGATCGCTGCGGAAAGCTACAAGGGACATCGAACGAGAGCGCCGGAAAATGGAGGAGGAGGAGCGTAAGTTGGAACTGGAAATAAGACGCAATGCCGCCGCTGGAAACAACGATGCCTGCCGTATCCTGGCCAAGCAGCTGGTGGAGATAAGGAAGCAAAAGTCGCGCACCTATGCAGCCTCCGGAAAGATCCAGTCCATTGGTTATCAGAACAAGAACATGGGCGCCAATATTGCCCTCAGCGAGGCCATGGGTACCACTGCCAAGACGATGGGTGAAATGAACAAGGTGATGCGACCGGAGGCTATTGGGGAAACCGTACGCCAGTTCCAAGCGGCCAACATGAAGATGGAGATGACCGACGAGATGATTAACGACACATTGGACGACATGCTGACCGAGTCCGGCGACGAAGAGGAATCCAATGCCGTGGTCAACAAGGTTCTCGACGAGATTGGCATCGAGATTTCCGGAAAGATGTCCAGCATCCCGGCCACGGGAACCTCAGACTTCGAGACGAGTGGCAAGCGTACGGAGAAGGACATTGCCGATCAGCTAGCCAAGCTGCGCTCTTCTTAGTCCATAGACTTTTGCTATTCTTTTTGTAATTACTGTGAACACCGCTGTTATCCATAGACCGTAAGGAAATATATTTATGTACACCGCTTACAAACGCGCATTCATTCCGCCGCCGGCCACAATCGACTCGCCCGTAATGTATCCCGCATCCTCGGAGACGAGGAAGGATACCACGCCGGCCATCTCTTCGCTGGTGCCCAGGCGACCCATGGGTATTTTGCTCAGGGCCGCTTCATTGGCCGACTCATTCTCATAAAGAGCCTTGGAAAACTTCGTCCTGATGACTCCTGGGGCAAGGCAATTGACTCGAATGCCCTCGGGCGCCAGATCCTTGGCGGCCGCCTTGGTCAAGCCAATTAGTGCAGTCTTGCTGACGGAGTATGCGCCAAGTAGCTATAAAAATATTTTAAAGGAGATAAGCAATGTGCAATTAATAAGAGATTAAAAGGGGACTTACCTCAAACGCATCATAGCCCGCGATGGAGGAGACAAAGACGATGCTGGAGTCCTTCTGCTGACGAAGTAAAGGCAGCGCTTCTTTGGCCAACAGATAGGAACTCTTTACATTCACGTCGAAGATCTTGTCCCACACCTTCTCGTCGCACTCGAGGACTCCACCCACCGCCGGATTGGTGGCGGCATTGCTGACCAGAATATTGAGTTTGCCAAACTTGCTAATAGTTTCCTCGAAGAGCTGCTTGCGATCCTGGGGCTCGCTTACATGGCATTTGAGCCCGTGGACATTGAGGTTCAATTTGCGCAGCTCCGCCAGAGCAGAGTCCACGTTCTTCTGCTTCCGACTGCTGATGACCACCGAAGCGCCATCTTCTGCTAAACGCTTGGCAATGGCAAAGCCAATGCTGTTTGAGGATTAAGCATGATTAAGAAGGGAATTATTATTTTCGTTGGATTTCTTACCCATCTGTAGAGGCGGTAACCACGGCTACTTTTCCTGCTAAACGTTTCATCGTGCGGGCGCTTGAACTTTGACTAGTGCTGGACAAACGTTTGTGGCATTGATTAAGATTAGGGCCAACAAGTTTCGGGCTGTAATCGTTGTTGTTTTGATCATGACTTGAACTTTGACCACTTCCACTCACAGCGCAAGCACTTAATCGAATTTTTGGCGCCCTAACCACTAGTTGTTTTCCAAGATGGATCATTTTGCACGCCAGATAATTAACAAGGATGCAAGGATTCGTTGCCTAACAATTGATTTTCCCAATTTAACTATAACGGATTCAGATCTCCCAGTTGTTTACTAATTCTTCTTCATTCTCTCAGATTTCCATTCACAGCGGTGACAAAAGCTTATTATGCGAGTGGCGCCATTTTTTAAATTTCAAGAAAGCTATCTTTGCGGTAGCTTACTAATCAATATTACTTCACTAATAGCGTAACATAGTTATTTATTATATTAAAAATAAATGATCGCAAATTATTGTATGGCTATTTCACTTAAGGCCACTCACTCATCCCTCAGTCATCGGTAGATAAGACTTTTTGAAAAGAAAATCTCCAAATAGCAAGATAAACGCTCCGTTTCGTAATAATATAAACAAAGATAAATAAGTATGACAAACAAACCGCAAAGTGAGAGAAAATAACTTGACCTAATGGAGTGTTTTTGATTCCAAAACATATATGTGCCTATAGAGCGATCGACCAAAAGTGCGAATTAATAATCTATCAGAGAGGCTTAAGCTCTACCACCCGGCGGATCTCGCTTCACTATAGTCGTAGTCGTCGGCGGAAGTAGTACACCAGTCTCCGGTTCTCCGATTCACTCCGGCACGCGCTTACGGCTTTGGGTTACTTTTCGCAACCGTCGGCAAGGCATGTGATACGAAAAAATCCCTTATGCTAGTAAAAAGCCAAACGTGAAACTAAATATTAACTAAATTAAATACAAACAAATATTATTTTAATAAAATATTAATAAGATGAGTGACCAGGCCAAAGAGATCGAGGCTATTCCGCCAACTGTCCTGGACTTCAAGGCTCCCGATCTTCCGGACAACAAGCCAATTCTCTTCTTTCATCCGTACAACTTCCATGCGCAAAAAGTTAGTAACCGCTCTAATCATGTGATCTTTGAAAATATCATTTGCCCAACCAGATCCATCAGCTAATGCCGCGATATTACAAAACTAATCATCATCAGTTGTAGTCGTCATCGTTGTTTTTTGTTTTTGATGGGATGCCCCCGCTGTGAAGGTTCTCCACCCACGATCTTCATTAAATCTCTCAGCTCTCGGGTGCAATGGAGCATGAATTGGCGGGTGGCATGACAGAATTGTGGAGTTCTCTAGATATTAAACTAAAGTTTAGCTTATGACAGCATAGGATTGATTTATACGCTGTTTACTTATCTGCTGCAGGTGCTAATAAGGCAGATGAGTGGAAAAACAAAATAATATAAACGTGAAAATAAACAAACCTCAGAACGAATCTACGGTAGCAGAGACTAGTATAATAACTGAAGCAAAATAACTTAATGCTATATTTTTTTGCCAATCAGGTAAAAATATAGAAATTCATTTTTATGAAACTTATAATTTGTCAGTAATTGGTATAAATGTTAAAATATTATATTTTTGGCGGTCCAAACTACATTTTAACTTCTTAAATCTTAAAAATAAATGTTTACAAGTTTGACGTTGTTCATTCTTACGCATTTTTACTTTCGATCTTCTAAATTACTCAGAAAATTAATAACATTTGAATCATATTAAGGCGGATCTGGAATAAGCTGAAATACACAAGGACGTATTTCCACAATAATATTTTAAATGTTCTAGTTTAGAACTTTTCTTCATAAACATACTATATTTCATTTTTAACGTTCATATATTGCTTTAAAAATTTTACGCGAAGGAATTTGGAAAGGGGTTTTTCGTTTTATTTAGTAATTATACTTATATTGTTAATCGTATTGTACGAAATCAGACAAAAAATAATTCCATCTATATTCTCAGGTTCTCATGGTTTTTTACGAGAAAAAAATTGACTTCTTTCCCTACGTGGTTGACTTGTGCAATGGCGAGCAGTATTCTAACTGGTTCCTGAATCTTAATCCCAAGGGCGATGTGCCTGTGCTCCAGGACGGAGCTTTTATTATTCCTAACTCGACGCACATCATCAACTATGTGGATAGCAAATTCCGAGGAGGTAATTCGTCCTGAATACTTATAGTTTGTCTATTTTATTAACTTGCTAATTTCAGGGATTCATCGAACTCTGAAGCCCCCGCACAATTCAAAGGATTTTGATAAGATGTTGATCCTTGAGCAAGCAATGAGTCGCCTGCCAGTGGGAACTCTAAGTCTGGGCTCATTTATCCACGACGATTTGAAGTTGGTGCCCAAGGCGCCTTTTATAGGACCTGTGCGCCAGTCCTGCCTGAGTAAGTTACTTCTGGCCCGTACTGTAAGCTTGACTGAGTCTTTTATTTGTCTTTCCCTGCAGAAAACAACGATAAGGTTCTAGAAATGCTGCGCCGCTCTGTGGACGATCAGTCAACGAACAAGGCAGCTTTGCAACACAAGCTTGATATCCAAGTGCGCCGGCATGAACTGGCCTCCTCCCGTGAGGACTTCCAGAAAGTTTTAGATGCCGTGCGTCACTTTTTGCTCTATGTGGAGCAGGAACTGTCTGCCCAAGCACCGCGAAACGAGTGGCTAACCGGTGACGAGCTATCCGTGGCAGATATCTCCCTGGGACTATTGCTATATCGATTGTACCAGCTCGGGTTCGAGAACTATTTTTGGGCCTTTGGAAAACTGCCACAGGTAGAGGCCTTCTTCCTGCGTTTCCGACAGCGCGAGTCCTTCCACCGCCTTCAGCCGAGCAACTTTGCCATCCTGCGCGAGATGTGGATGCGGACGCCGGGCAATTACAAACTAGGAGCGGGAGCGGGCTTCCTGGGTATGGCCATGTTTGCCGCCTTCGCGCACAAGTGAGCGGAGGATCGGGACACCAGATTTTGTTAACAAATCCTTTTACTGTTAAAGTTGGGCACATATAAACACACGAACATAAGAACGCTTAAAGCTACGCACTGCTGATGAAGGATGCTGGGGTGTCATGGTAAGAGGCGGAGGAGGATGAGGAGCAGAACGCGATCCAGTGCCAGCCTCGGCTGCTTAGTAATATCATTGATTCATCATTTCATCGTCGCTGAATATACAAAAATTTGGTATAAATTCCAATCCGTCACCTAATTATCAATTCCTGCTATGCTTGATGGCTGCTTCGCTTGCCAGGCGGACCGCCTAGGGCTCAGCTCTCCAGTGGCTGTTGTTCACGATCCCTGTCCCTCCGTTGCTGCTCGGAAAGCAGCAAATTGGCGGCTGCACTAGCCGCTTTGGGATTTGTGAACAGCGGCATTCCCATGAAAGTAGGCATCTGCTGATCCCTTGGCACGCCCGTCGATGCTGCCTTGCCATTGATGTTTGCCCTCGATGCGCTGGACCCCGAGCTCGTAGCGGCTCCCGTTGATAAATGCGTGGGGCGCTTGAACGGGAAGGTAGGTATTTCGCGTTGGTAACTGAAGCTTCCATTTCCAGGCGCCTCCGGCAGCAGGCCGGGTGTGGGATACCAGAAACGGTACGTGAAGTACCAGGTGAGTATGGCAATAATGCCGCTAATCACCTTCTCGATCATGCGGTGGTAGTACAGCATTGTGCCCACCAGCATTATGTCCCACAGCAGCTGCAGCGCCGCCATGCCAATGAATAAAGTTCGGATAATGGGCGTCAGGCGCTTATACAAGAACTGCAGGCTACGCATTTGCTCCTCGTTCAAAGTCCTCAAAGGATTTGTGCCCGAGTTTTCGGCGGAACTGCGATTGTGACGCTCGTTGCGGATGTGCTCCTTGATGGTCTCCCAGCGTATGATGGGACGCGCCTCCTCGATCAGCACCAGGCTGGAGTGGATCAGTATAAAAGCATGTCCGGATATGTCAAAGCCTTTCCATAAATGTCCCGCCCTCAGACAGCTGGATTTGCTCTGGAAGCCTGGAATTGCAGAGTTTTAGTATTAATAATTTCTTTATAGGCTTATTTTTGACCAACCTTTTGTGGTACAGCGTCCATAGGAATTCTCAACTATGTTGAACAACTTCGTCCAGAAGAACCAGAAAAAAGTGGCTATGACTATGCGTGGAAAATGGTGCCTCAGCATTCGTTTGTGGTCTCCACAAGTGATCGTATAGGCTGAGAGTACCAGAAAGGGCACTACGAAGAGCAGTGTCCAGCCCCAGCCCACCTTGACGAAGTATTGGTTAAACAGGTTGTCCGATCTGGCAAAGTAGGTCTTTGGGAAGGGCGCAAAGTCCCCGATCACGGAGATTACAAACAGACTCCCCAAATACAAGGCCACCTTAAGGTCCGTGTTGAAGAATATGATCTTCTTACACAGGTGAATGACGCCCATGACCAGGATCTCGCGAATACTAGTTGGTGCAGCCGTGGGTCTCGTTCCTCGGGCTTCTGACCGGGTGATATCGGGTCCTCCGGGTCTGAAGTTCATGTTGGAGCCGGAGGAGGATGAGGTGCCAGGATTGCTCGCCAAATTAGGGCGCAGAGGTCTTCTTTTGGTGGCCATCGTTGGACTTGGTTCGCAGGTTCGAAGTTGGTCAGTCGTAAACTGCGTTGTTTGCTGCCGTTTTTGGTTATACTGCGAGCAAAGTGAAAGTGAAAGCGGAAGAACTAAACGTGTCAAAGTTCAACGCTTGAAATACAAACTTAACCGAGTTGCACCAGTCCAATGGCTGTCACATTACCCTGACTGCTTAATTTAGTTAATTTTTTTTTGGTTGTTCTAACCCCTTTCGTTGTTCTTAACGTTGATTTTGTACTTTTATTATGGCCAAAATGTACGTGTTGCGCCCGTAAAAAATAGAACAGCTGCACGGGGACGACGCTTCCCAGTGAATAGCAACTCTGATTGGAATTGTACCTGCTACGTGGTGAATGCCACTCTGATCAGCTGTTCGGGCTCAGATTTATTTTGAGGGCGTTTAATTGCCGGTTTTAATTAAACTGCGGCATGTACAACTCGGCCAAACAGCTGCAGCGCGTGCTGACAGCCCGCGAGATTCGTAAGACGTTCCTGGATCACTTTACCGTAAGCCATGGCCACAAGTTCGTCCGCTCCAGCCCGGTGGTTCCCTTTTGCGATCCCACGGTGGCTTTCGTTAACGCGGGCATGAATCAGGTGAGGTAACAGGCCCATTAAATGCCATTGTTCCCTTGTTATTCTATGGTTTTAATTCCAGTTCAAATCGGTATTCCTGGGCACAGCAGAGGCGCCCCACAAGCGCGTGGTCAACTCCCAGAAGTGTGTCCGTGTGGGTGGAAAACACAATGATCTATCCGTGGTGGGTACGGATGGCTATCATCACACCTTCTTCGAGATGCTGGGCAACTGGTCCTTCGGGGACTACTTTAAGGTAAGTCCTATTGCCTGTCTAAGTACTATTTTGTCACAATATATATGTTTTTTTCAGCGGGAGGCCTGCGCCATGGCTTTGGAGTTGCTCCGTGGTCCCTACAACATTGACCCAGGTCGCCTATATGTAACTTACTTTGCTGGGGATAAGGTGCTGGGAATACCAGCGGATCTGGAGTGCTTTGAGATCTGGAGGAGCCTGGGGTATTACCTATTACATAATGTCAGGGCGTAACCTATTACAATTATTGTTAAATCATTGCAGTTTTCCCGCCTCTCGTATCCTGCCCTTTGGTTGCGCAGACAATTTCTGGGAAATGGGAGCCACTGGACCATGTGGACCCTGCACCGAAATTCACATAGATCATCGCCCAGATCTTGGCAGCGTGGAGCAGCGCGCCAAGTTGGTAAACGCTGGTCGCTCCGATCTCACAGAGCTCTGGAATCTCGTCTTCATACAGTACAATCGGTAAAAGATGGTTTTAAACCGCAATAAATTTCAAACTAAACGCTTTTATTTTCCTAGTCATACGGATGGCAGCATCACTCAACTACCCGCCCATCATGTAGACACCGGCATGGGATTCGAGCGTTTGACGGCAGTGCTGCAAAATAAGAATTCCAACTATGATACGGATTTGTTCACGCCTCTCTTCGATGGCATCCAGCAGGTGGCAAAGGCTCCGGTGTACGGTGGTAATTTTTCGAATGGAGGAAATGCAGCACTTCTGGATACCAGCTATAGGATACTAGCCGATCATGCCCGCATGGTCACCGCATGTTTAGCCGATGGAATGCTGCCAGATCAAAAGTGAGTTAACACGTAAATTCCAATGTTTACTCTACTGATCTCAACTTTCTTTCAGCCAAAAACTGCGTCGTGTCCTCCGCAAAGCTCTCAGTATTTCAGAGCATGTGTTTGCCCATGAGAAATTGTTGACACAATTAGTTCCTATTGTGGTAGAGACTCTTGGCGAGTCCTATTCAGAGATGTCATCCAAACAGCAGGCAGTCATCGACTTGATCAACCACGAGCAAGAGGTGTATAAGAATCTTAGAGAAAGTTCTTCCAAAGCATTTGCAGAGGTGCTCACAGAGTTTCCCAATCTGGATGATATTGATCTAATGGAGTGTCCCGGATTCGTACCCGCCTATCGGGAGTTCCAGGTACAACGCTCCAAGTTTCCAAATAACACAATACCAGGAGATTTCCTTTTCAAACTGACGGATACCTATGGTCTGACCGAAGAGAGCTTCCTCAAGCTGGCTGAGTTGGAGAACATGAACTGTGATTTGGAGCGCTACAGGGCAGAGGTCAGTCTGGCCAAGATGAAAGCCAAAGGAATTCAAAAAGAAAGCGGAGGAGGACCACTTTTCGATTTGGCCAATGAGCAGCGTATTGCCGAAGCTCAGGCGAACTTAACGAAGGGTCTGACGCCCACCGGCAACAGTCACAAATATGCCTACTCTTTTGACAAAGAAAGTGATACATACCAGATACCTCCGCTAAAAAGTCGCATCGTGGGAATGCTCCTCAACGATGCGGAAGTGTCACGAACCCAAGGCAGTCGCCTGCAAGAACCCTCCACTGACCTTATTTCAATTGTGACGGCTACCAGCAATTTCTACTATGAATCTGGAGGTCAACAATCGGATAGAGGACATATCTTTGTGAGCAATCACCACCAGCCAGAGCATCCTCATTTGCTGGACGTGATCTCTGTGAAGCATCTCAATGGCTGTGTGGTTCATGTCTGCAAATTATCCAGTCCTACGGATGCCTTTGAGCTGGCCATTGGCGACGAGGTGGAACTGCAGGTGGATGTCCAGCAGAGACAACTCAATACGTGCCATCATACAGGTGGGATGGAGTATGATTAAACTAAGAAATATTAAAAACAGTTTTTACTTTTAGCTACCCATCTTTTAAACGCTGCTATCCGCTCACTCTTTAAGAAGGTTACCTACCAGGTGTCAAGTTCGGTGACTAGTGATCACTGCAAACTAGAGTTGGGGCTGCTTGGCAAGCGCATCCAAAAGGGCGATGTACAGCTCATCGAAGATCTAATCAAGTGAGCCATATTTCCATTACTAATTTTCCCAGAATTTAGCCAATAATCCTATCTTATAGCCGCGTTATCTGCTCTGCCACGCCTGTTCAGGTAGAGCTTTTGAGTGCCGCTGAAGTCCTGCAGCAAAATGACATCACTATGGTGCCGGGAGAGGTTTATCCGGAGCAGGGATTACGTCTGGTCAATGTGGAGAGCCCTGACCTGCAGCTCAGCTCCAAGGAGCTGTGCTGTGGCACTCATGCCACCAACACCAGTGAGCTTTCGTGCTTCTGCATTGTCAATTTGAAGCAGACGAATCGGGCTAGGTTCGCCTTCACCGCTGTGGCTGGGCAGGCAGCGGAAAACGTGAGTGGATGCAGGATAGGGTCTGAAATTATTTATCTATAGTTCCCCTGCTTCTACCCTAGGTGCTAAAAACAGCCGCCCTGCTACGCCATCGCGTAGATCTTCTTGAGAAGCAGTTCCAGACGGATAAGCTCACAAATGCCACGGAAGCGGAACTGCAGACCATTCGTCACAACATCCTGCACACGGACATCAAACTGCCACATGCGTTCAAAATGGACACGCTAGAGCGCATAACCGAGATGTTAAAGAGAATCAAAGATTCTTCTCGCACAACCCTCAAGTAAGATTCCAATTTAATACTTTTTCATCACAATTCTAAACTTGATATTTTAAGGGAATTCGTGGATGTTGAAATGCGCAATCTTCTGCAGGAAAAGCCTGTGGATACTCACCCATTTATCCTGCACTATATTACCAGCTCCGCCCTTGTGGAGGAGATTCCTTTGCAGCGAGCCACAAAATTCTGCCAGGATCGACCCGTCCTGGTAATCAGCATGTGTGATAGCGTGGTCAAGGCGCGCTGCTGCGTACCATCAAACTGCATCACAGAACAATTTAACGCTTCCGCTTGGCTGCAATCTTTCGCCGACACTTTTGGTGGCCAAATAGCTGCGCCCAAGGGTCAGAATCCGCAGGTAGTGTGCAACATGAAGGGTCGAAGAGTCAACAACCTCTTCGAGGAGCAGCTAGAGAAGGCAATGTCCAAGGCACATGCGTACGCTAAGCTTTATCTGTAGGTTTTAGATGTGATTACCCTCCGAAATGTGCTAGCTGCAAGCTTGCCTCTTTAAATGATTTAAAATGTGAAAAGCGAATAAACCGCGGAATTATTAAGTATAGTTAAATATTTAATCACTAATCACCACCAGATCATCATCCTCCCCGTCTTCTTCATTTTCCTCCTGATCTTGTGGCACAAAACTAGAGTTCATTACCTCTTCAAAAGCATCTGCATTGCCGGAGCTTTGATCAAAAAAGTAACTCATATTAGCTAAAGGCTTTACTGGTGTTGGTATCTTTTCGCTGAGGCGGTGTTGTAACTTGAACCGCTCTACTGGAGTCCTGGCTAGCATCTTTAGATCTCCCTTAACCAGTAGATCAAAACTGTCGTCCAAGGAAAACCGCTTGCTCTGCGGCAATTGCTCGATTTGGGAAAGGTTCCTTTTCTTCTCCACTTCTGTCGGTTCCTCTTCGTTGTCTAGACTCATTTGCGCCAGGCGCAAACTCAAATCATCCGCCAGAGGTTCGTAATGCAGCCGGTGACCCTCGTGTTTGGTCAGTGCTGGCTTGGCATTCGGATTTGATATGATGCCATTGACTATGTCCGACATGTCGAACTCTCCAGCATCACAATCACTTTCCAGATCTGAGGGCAAAAACTTGGTAATGGGAGTTGAGCATTGCTGGCGTTGGGGGGTAGAACTTTTAACAGGAGTATCTTTTATTTCACGCCTCAGGAATTGTTGCAATAAAGGCTGACCCTGTTCAGGCGCAACCTTTTTCTTCCTGACCACTCGTTTTGGTCTTAATTTTTGTTCGTTTTCCTTATCCTCTTCTTCAGGAGTAGTCTTCTTCTTTCGAATGGTTTTCTTGGCTGGCTTCTCTTTAGACTTTAAGAATGCAGCAACCAAATCTGGGTACGCCGACTCCAGCATGTCCAATGGTTCTATGGTGTAGTAGAGTTCTTCGATTCCCTTCGGATGCTCTAATTCAAATTCTGAAATCTGTTTATCTGGAATAAGTCCTTTAAAACTTCCGCTGGGATCTTGCCAACGCAGCTCTAAGCTGGCAACTCCTTTAACAGTACGCTTTTTGATAATTTCAATGGGCTGAATAAGAATATTATCCTGTTTTGATTGCTGAACTTGCCAGCGCGTCAGGATGGGAAAGAACTTCTGGAAGCAGTATATTTCCGGCCATTGTAGAAGATGTCCTATTTGCTTGATAAACTTAACTATATTTGGTTGACGCCAGTTGAGATTAAGTTTTGGGATGGTGGTGGGATCGCTTAGGAACTCGGCAATGATCTCCTCGTTGGGAAAATCCGGAGATAGTAATGCTTTCCGTCGCAAAGTCAACTCTGCTTTAATGGATAATCGTTGTTCTCTGGGCAAAATGTTGAAAGAATAAAGATGTGAATTTTAATTTTAATAAATTTCTTACTTCCAGAGGCTTTCGTCGCACCCTTTGTTAGTGCGGCAAACACTGCAACCACTTTTGGTATGGCTTTGGGTTTTGCCAATGTGCCCGCAATTGCTGCAAATGGATTTGTCATCTACTCGAATTTCCAGTGCATTGTATTTATTAGTTTCCTTGCGCCAGTTTCTTAACCTGTGAAAGACGAAAGCTATAAATAAGGGCAGAGATTGTTTTTCTGACTATAGTACTTGTCCAGAATCTCCGTTTCTTTGTACTTGTTGAAGAGTTTCAAGACGCCATCCTTTCCAATTCCACCTATGCCATCTGGACAATAATCACAGCCACAGAGCAATGCCATCACAATAATCTTGTGCTGACCGAAATCCATGCGGGAGGTGATCTCTCGCATATCGTAGATGTCCACAGCTCCGCCAGCAGCCGCCTGAGCACCTTGGGTGGAGACCGAGAAGTTGCGATAAACGCATATCGCTCCATAGGCAAAACAATCCGAATCCTGGCTAATGACGCCGTCAACTAACTTGGGGTACAAATTTTATAATAATGGATACTATGGGTAAAACTTATACACTTACGCCATGCTTGTTGAGAAAGGCGCAGTAGGCCTCTGCCTCGCCAGGACCTTGAACGCACTGGATTCCCATGGAAAGGAGTAGTGTTTCGCACTGTTTAAGGACATGGTTGAAACGGGTGCGTCCTTTGTCGCCTTTGGGAGCCTGGTTTTGGGTGACTTCTGGAGAATTTTTGGGTTTCACGCCCCGAAATTGCAGTTCATTCCTTTTGGCTATCACCTGACTCTTAAGTTTAGGAGCCACTCCTTCCAAAACGAAAACAGGGGTAACTTGCTCCCAAATTAAATAGCAAGTCCGAAAAAAGAGGTTTCTGGGGGGAAGAATGTAATTGAAATTAGTTCAGTAAGCACTTTTTGGTAAGTATTTTCTAAAACCCACTTCAAATGATGCCTTGGGTGCACAAAGTAATCCACAACATTCAGTGATTCGCACACCCATCCGGCCAAATCGATGGCCACCTTCTTGCCCCGCAATTCATTAATAGGTTTACGTTCACAATGGGGTGTAAGTACTCCCCATAATTCCTTTACACCCATAGATTAAGTAAATAAATAAAAACCGCGAAAAATTTGCAATAAATTCAAACACCTGTCTTCTAGTTCGGTGTTGTCAACTCAGCTTTTTTTTTAGCGAGGTTGTGCATTTTGAGGGGAAAATATTTTTAAGACAGTTCTTGTTTAATTTAAGTGAAAATCTCATTAGAAATCAAATTACACTAACTAACAGTTTGTCTTTAAATAGGTTAAAAAAAAGCCAAAACTATATAAATTTGTTACATTTTTGGAGCGAGATTTTAAAGTATTAATGCCAGTCACCACGAACCGGAGTCGATACCCGATAGCCGCCTTTGTTTTGACAGCTGCACACTCGCCCGCTGCGAATGGCCAGTGGTCAGCAGCCTCTTCCTCTTCCACATCGACGTGTCAGGCAAAGAAAGTCCAAAAAACATACAATTTAGCTGGCCTTTCGCGCATAGCCCGACAAAATTCAGAAACTGCCAGTAGTCTTTGCACCACACCACACACAACCACCACCGGCAAGATGGTTCTCGCGGATTTGGGTCGCAAGATAACCACGGCGCTGCACTCGCTCAGCAAGGCGACAGTAATCAATGAGGAGGCTCTAAATGCGATGCTCAAGGAGATTTGTGCGGCGCTCCTGGAGGCGGATGTAAACATCCGGCTGGTAAAGCAGCTGCGCGAAAATGTCCGAGCCGTCATAGATTTCGATGAAATGGCCGGTGGTCTGAACAAGCGTCGGATGATCCAGTCGGCGGTCTTTAAGGAGCTTATCAAACTGGTGGATCCTGGCGTAAAACCCTACCAACCTATTAAGGGAAAAGCCAACGTGGTCATGTTTGTCGGTCTCCAGGGCTCTGGTAAGACCACCACCTGCACAAAGCTGGCCTATCACTACCAAAAGCGGAACTGGAAGTCCTGCCTCGTGTGCGCCGATACCTTCCGTGCCGGTGCTTACGATCAGGTGAAGCAGAACGCGACCAAGGCGCGCATTCCCTTCTACGGTAGCTACACGGAAATCGACCCCGTTGTTATTGCCCAGGAGGGCGTGGATATGTTTAAGCGCGAGGGCTTTGAGATGATTATAGTGGACACATCGGGTCGTCACAAGCAGGAGGAGTCGCTGTTCGAGGAGATGTTAGCCGTGTCCAACGCCGTCAGTCCTGACAACATCATCTTCGTGATGGACGCCACAATTGGTCAGGCTTGCGAGGCTCAGGCTAAAGCTTTTAAGGACAAGGTGGACATTGGTTCGGTGATCATCACCAAGTTGGATGGCCACGCCAAAGGAGGCGGTGCCCTGTCCGCCGTCGCGGCCACACAGTCGCCCATTATCTTCATCGGTACGGGCGAGCACATTGACGATCTGGAGCCCTTTAAAACGAAACCCTTTGTGAGCAAACTGCTGGGCATGGGAGACATCGAAGGGCTGATAGATAAGGTACCTACGGCATAAGTGACGATTCCATATTTGAAATTTTGATTCAAAATCTCTTCGAATATGATTTTAACTAACTAATTCCCTATTTTTCGCAGGTAAATGAACTAAAGCTGGATGGCAACGAGGAGCTGTTGGAGAAAATCAAGCATGGGCACTTCACTATCCGCGACATGTACGAGCAGTTCCAGAACATCATGAAGATGGGGCCATTTTCGCAGATCATGAACATGATTCCCGGATTCTCGCAGGACTTTATGACCAAGGGTGGCGAGCAGGAGTCGATGGCGCGCATCAAGCGCATGATGACAATGATGGACAGTATGTCGGACAACGAACTGGACAACCGCGACGGGGCGAAGCTTTTCAGCAAGCAGCCGAACCGCAGCATCCGCGTGGCCCAAGGAGCTGGAGTCCTGGAGCGCGAGGTCAAGGAACTGATTGCTCACTATACGAAATTTGCGGCGGTGGTCAAGAAGATGGGCGGCGTGAAGGGCCTATTTAAGCAGGGTGACATGACCAAGAACGTAAACCCCACGCAGATGGCAAAGCTCAACCAACAGATGGCGAAGATGATTGATCCCCGTATGCTGCAACAGATGGGCGGCGTTGGTGGACTTCAGAACATGATGAGGCAACTGCAACAGGGGGCGGCGGGCGGATTGGGTGGCCTGGGGAACCTAATGGGCGGCTTTGGCGGCAAGTGAGCAGGTGGCGTGTAAATTTAACGATTTTTATATGATTTTGTTTCCGCGTAGTTCGTAATTTGTTAGCCATTGTTTCCATTTGTCCAAGACCACAAAAATTGATATCCGATGTGGGAGCGAATATAGCGTATATAGCCTATATAGACGTGCAAACAGTTAACAATTCGGTTTTTGTACGGCTTGGCAGCCACAGTGTCAGTTTTTATAGTTTAAACAGTTTTCTGTACACGAACTAATGGAACTAGCATGCCTATCAAAATATCCGTAAGGCATTTGAACTAGATATAAAAAATAAATAAACACTACATGAACTTGGCTTTAAATTGGTTGTGTCTACTCGGATTAAGGGCGGATTAACTTAAAGGGTTTGTCCATTTTGGGCTAAGTCTTAGTTTGCACTTAAAAATATACCCAACAACAGACAACTTTTGTGTAAAAAAGGACCTGTGACGGTTAAATCACAAGAAGACTAAACTTTTCAAATTTAATTTTAATTTTTTTCTTCGATGTAAAATAATTGAAAATAAGTGTACAAGATGGTAAGTTCAATTGACATACAAAAATGTATTTTATTATTGGACTAATCGTGGTCTTTCTCAAAAAACTAAACGAATCGGTTGGCCAAAACGAACTATCAACACGAACAGATAAACGATCTGACACTTGGGGATTCTGGGAAACAACATGACTGTATCAATATTCCTTTTGTCCACACACAGACAACTAAAACAAAAAACAACTTGCGAACAGGAGCCCAGAAACCTCGACAAGAAGTCGCGACACAAGAATCCGAAATGTGAAAACGAAATAACGGTAGGCAAGTAAACAAACAAGCAGGCTAACAAATGTTAATACCTTTGTTGCTGTTTTTGGGGAGGGTCTGCATACACACTCAAATTGCGACGGTGCACTCAGAGAAATAGGTTGGTCTAAGAAACCAATAAATCACAGCCAATACCTAAATTAAATTTGTGATAAAAAAATTATTTTTGCATAATTTCGTTCTCGTTTCTATTAAATTTTAATTATTAATATATAATGTTCGTTAAAATATTTCTGATAAATTAAGTAAACTTATGGAAAGTATTCCTTATTCTGGTTCACCGCGCTGTAGTGCATTTTAGGCATACCAGAATAAGTTTCTTTATCACTTATACGAACTGTTGCCTTTGTCAAATAAGTTATTATGTGTTATAAGAACAATTATAAAAAAAAGGCTGCGCAAACATAAAATATAATTTTTTGGTTTTCGAATTTTTTGCATTCTACCATATAAGCATATTTTAAGCAGATTATTTTTTGTAGTGTTTGTTTTGGTGGTACAGCTTTACTGGTGGAGCTCACAGCATCCCTTGATTTTGTCCCGGAAGTTGCCGTTCGTCTGTGCTTGTGGGGAAGGAACTTCCTCCCTTTTTTGCCCTGAAAACTCCATTATCCTCCCAATCCACTTTTAGCAATAACAATGAAATGGCGATTGCCTGCCATAAAAATGTCTATTAAGCTGTCATGTTTCGACACTCATAAAACCATCAAACAAGTCAAACGAACAGGATAGCAGCAAAATCAGCAGGACGAACTGCTGTCAACGTTTTTGGGTACATCCTTGCGACTTCCCCACACACACATATAGGCTCACTGACTAGGAGTTTATGTGTGGGCCTTTCATATTTCTTCCGCCTCCCAAAGCTAAAAGCCTTTATTTATGAGGCGTGGTGGTGGGGTAAAAAGATAGCCAAAGGGAGGAACTCATTACACGCCCCACATTCCTAAACATTTTACGAGGACAATGGGCTTCAACAGGATAGCATCCTTGGCAGGATAATCCTTCTTCATAAGGGTAGGCTCTCGCATCCCCTGAGGGAAATTTGCAGGAAACTATTTCACCAAACCAAATCCCCCGCCCGATGAATAAAAAATGCATTTGAATTTTGTTTTCTTACAGAAAATCAATTTGTCTTTTATTGATTCAGAAAAAGTTCAGTTTCATTTTTTTTTGGGTTTTTGGATGACAGCATTTGCTCTTTAGGTTTTCCTTTTTCTTACCAAAGAGACGTTACGTTTTTTCATGTTTTGCTTTTGTGTGTTCTTCAACTCGTTCAACGTCCACAGTTAAATCTTTTGCTATGTTCGGTTTAATGCTTTCCGTCGCTTTAAGTCGGGCTCAGGATTTTTCTCCCTGCCCTCGCTTAGCTTCTTGCTTGATTCTCTCGCTTTCGGTTCTGTTCTATACTGATCTATTCTCTTTTCTTTTTTACTTACAATTATATTTAATTTTTTTTCTTCATTTACTTTCTGTTTTTTTGTTTTCTTGTTCAACTAGTCTTAAGCGAAATAAGCACAAAAGCTGCAAAATGTTTTGCTTAAACTAATTTTTCATTTTAAACTTTTTTCCTTCTTTTTTATTTTGGGTTTTTAACTTTTATCTCTTGATCTCCAATTCAGTTTTCTTCATGAATGATCTTTTGCATTAAAGTTGAGGGCACAAAAAGTACGCGTATAAATTTGAAAGTTATAGCAAAGATTTCGCTTTTTCGCATTTTTCTTGTCCTTTGTCAGTTTTAGTTTTTTTTTTCGTGTTCTTTTTAGCTTTTACTAGAGATTTAAATACAATTCTTTCGCCATATAAAAATGCTTAAAAGCGTCACATTGATGCAAAAAATAATACTTTAAAAAATACACAGAGAGTTGAAAAGGATTCCTCATGCTTTCGATCGATCTTTCCTTCAGTTTTATTTTTCTGGAGGATTACAAAGAGAGATGTAGTTTTTTTTTCTGATTCAATATTACCAGTTTGCGCATTTGCTTTGCTTGATTTTTTTGTGGTTTTTAGGTTTTTATCATTGTTAATAAGAAAATGAATAAAGTTCTTTAAAAGACTTTGATTTAAAACTTAAAAATAGCAACAAGCGAAATGTACATTACTCTCATTTAAGTATTTCTGTTTCTAAGTTTAATTAGCAGCTTGCATTTTACGCTTACTTAGAGTTAGTTTACGCCTTTGTCGTCGTGTTTTGTTCCTTTCCCTTACTCTCCAACTATTCATCCATTCTTCATTCCGAAACTGTCTTATTTATTTTTTAAATTTAATGAGCTTATTTTCTTTCCATCCTGCCTGTCCCATCGATTTGCTAGCGTTCGTTCTTCCGGCTCCGCTCTCACTTTTATGTGTTTTCATTTTGTTTTTGGTTTTTTGTTTGTTTTGTTTATATTCTTGGTTTCGTCAAAAAAGTTTCAAAAAAATATATATTCATCATTTCCTTAAATTGGCTTAATTAAAAAATGTTTATTTATTTCTCCCGCTCGCCTCACACGCTCTGCTATGCCCGCCCCTAAACAACGACTAAGACGACTAAGTTTGCCTCCTGTTTAAAACACAATTCAATTTAGTGGGGGTTCAATTAATTTAGGAATTCGTTATTGGAAACTATTTGGTGTGGGGTGAGTAAGCTTACTGGTAATTTATATAGCAAACATTATCCTACTAAGAAATCACATTGAAGGAAACGCAAAACTAAACGAAGGAAAACACACTCAAACCAAAAATATTTATTTATTTTTTGTTTTTTTTTTTAGTTTTTATTGAAATTTTTGTTGTTTTTAGTTTTCAAATTTACGCACTAGACATTTTTTTGTTTGCATTTTAAAAATTACTTCAACACTTGCATCAAATTTAATCGATTCGGTCCTCTTGCGAGAGAACTTCAATCAGGGGCGAGAAACCCAAGCAATCTTGAATCTTGATTGGGGTCTCGGCGATTTTAAGACAAATAATAAATTAACTACTTAAAATTAGTTAAAAAACTAAAGTAAAACGCATTAAATTAAAACAAAATACAGACGCAAAACAAACGAGTTCCAAGTTTGGTTTCTTGTCAAAGTAGATTTAAATACACACACAAAAAGTCAGTATAGCTTTAGATTAGAACATTCCTCGTCGGTTGATTTTTTTGTTTACCCTCTCTAACGTCCTTGCTTTTATCCTTTTTTTAAATTAAACCTAACCTCCAACTGTGCGACGTGGCGTTTTCCAACACTGTCGCTCTAACTACACAAAAACTACAACTTGCTACATGTGTTGCACTCCAACTAACCAACTATTCATTCTCCTTTCGCTACCAACTAGAAATCATATGTCCTACTCGTCTCCGTCTTTCTTGCTACATTTCTTGCCTCGCTCTACGCTACTCGTTTCGGCTTCTGCGTTCATCTTTGCTTGTCAACACTGTACTTAGATTCTCTAAACTTACGCACTAGGCTTTGATCTTACATACTAGGTTCTTCTCCTGCATCGACTCGATTTCATTCTCGTTCTCTAAGACATAAATTTCATTTTCACTTTCCTAGGGAGGGGGCGGAAAGACACGCCCCCAGCTCATCGTTTCTTCCGCCGATTTATAAATAACTTAGTTTAATGCTTTCTCAATTTGCTTAAGTTGTTTTTGCTGCTAACAAAGTAAAATCAATGAAAACTACAGAAAGAAAATTGCACTTTGTGTGAGTTTGGGGGGTGTATACGTGTGCGTGGGCGTGTGTTTGTAATTGTATCGAGGAAAACAGGATTGAAAATCTTTCTAAAAAAAATCCTCCCAATGACTGGTTCTTGTATTTGTGATTCTTCTTGTATAGGACAACAAATGCAGGCATCTCGTACAAATTTTTCATTTAACAATTTCGCTTTTCTTTTTTCGCTTTTGGAATGTTTTGGCAAAATATATATTTTTCCGATGCCTGCATAAACTTTACGAGGTGAGTCTAGGTGTATGTGTTTTTATTTTTGGGGGGTTTACATCCTGCGTATGTTGTTATTGTTACAGTTTCAGTTCGTAGTCAGTCTAAAGCAAATAATCGTAATATGACAAAAAAAAAATTTGCATTTTGTTGTTGTTTTGGTTTTAGGCTTAGGAAGACTTTTGGCGTTGTGTTTCTTATGTTTTTATATATGTATATATATAATAAATATATATGTAGTTAGTTCAGTTAGGCGACTCGTCAACTCTAAACTCGAAAATTAAATCGTATCAACGCATACATATATATATCAAAATCAAATCAAAGACTTTGCTCAGGAATGTTATTTGTGGTGTGAGGGTGTCCTTGCTCAAAAGGAGATTCTGAAAATTTTCTCTCTTCGCCACACTTTCTTCCACTCACATCGCCCACTTGATGTTTCCCTTGTTTCTCTTATTTTGCTCATCGTGTTTTGTTAATCAATTAACATTCGAAAAAATCACAAATACAATGCTTAGGCTTGTTAGGTGTGTCCGTGTTGGTGTCTATGTGTCAGTGTGTGCGTGTGTGTGTGTGAAAGTGTGTGTGTGTCTCGGAAAAATAAATATGCTAGGCTTTGAAAAAGGTAAAATTTCAATTCTAAACTCCGACCTCCGTTCTTCAACTCTACTTAAGAGACTCTTACAAGACTAAAGAAATCTTCGCTTAATAACTAAGTTCACTAAACGTAGTTCTCTTCTTTCTTACTTCTTCATTTTGTTTTTTTTTTTCCATTTAACATTAATTTTCTTGGTTTTTTGTTTTACATTTCTGCTACTGCCTGTGCCAGTTGTTGTTGCTGCTGCTGTTGTTCCTTTCGATCCTTGCTGATCCTTCAAAAAATCGTACTTCCTCCGCCGGCTTCACAAAGCTAAACTACAATTCTACAGTTTCAAATTTTATTTTTCTTGTTCTGTGTTTTGCTACTTTTGTGTGTTGTCTCGGTTTGTTTCGCTATTCCCTTTTAAAAAGTGTTTGCCTCTTGGTTTCCATGCTAATCAAACTGCATTCTTTTCCTGCCTCACTTTCTGCTCTTCAACAACTTGTCATATGCAGAAAAAATATACTATATCTAGGTTGTTTTTTGTTTGTTTTTCTTTCTTCATTAATATGTCTAAAAAACAGTTAACGTAAAAAACTGTAGACAGCTACAAAAAATTCATTCATTAAATCGACTGATGAGCACAAAAAATATGCTAAAAACTAGTACAAGATTTCCCATCTTCACTCGGTCATCCCAAGCTTTTGCTTATTCTTCCGCCTTCTGCTTTCTTTTAGATCTCTAGAACTACTAAATCTGTTTTTGCTTACTGCAATTTTCTTATTTTTGTTTTGCTAAGACTTAATACTAGGTTTTTGCCCACTTCAAAGGCTTTTTCTTCTCATTTCTTTTGTTTTAATTTATCTTTTTCTTTTTGACTGCTTGGATAGCACAAAACGAATGTCAAAAAGGGGAAATAGACATTACTTTTTCGCTTTTGTTTTTTGCTTTCGGATCTTTGCTTTATACAATTTGCATTTTTTTGGTTTAAGAAACCAACACAAGGAGAAAACAAACCAAATATCTCCTTACTTTTTGTGGCTATCTACGCTTTCCTCTGCTTCCGTTCTTTGTGCTGGTCAACACGATTCAACAAAAATACAAAATAAATATTACAAATTAGACAAACAGAACAAAACAAAGGTAGAGTCTGAGTTTCATCGTAAAAATCTTCTTTAGCAGGCCACAACAAAGAAAACGTTGCCGCTATGGTAAAAAAGTTTTGCTTTCTTTCGCGCATTCTTGCGCTTTCTTCGTTCTTCAGGGGGTTTCTTTGTTGCCGCTGCAGTTTGACTTAAGAGTTATGCTTTGTTTATATCATCATCGAAATGGGTTTTGTTTCGTTTTTATTTGCTCTGTTTTTCTTTACGGTTCTTTAACATACATTGCACACACATTTATTTTTGTTTTTGTTTCTGTTTCGGTTTTTTTTTCATCTTTCACTTCACAAATTTCTGTCTGCTTAGGTTTTGCTAGCTCAACATTAGCAAAATAGTTTTTTTATTTTCTCTTCTATTTTTACATCGCTCTTCCTCAGTTACCCCCATGCAATTGTTTTTCCTCTTGCGCTTAACAAAATTAACTTAACTTTAATCTGCGATGGTTTTTTTCTCGGCAGATTTCCTCAAGTGCTTTCGACCCCCAAGTGAGTTTCCTTTGACTTTACTTTCTCTTCTGCAGTTCTCTTTTTGTAAATATTTTCGACTGCTCTTCTCTCGTTTGCCGCTGTTGTTTGGCAATTTTTGCCGTTCTGCTGTTGCTTCTCTGGTTGTTTATTTAGTGTATAACTATTCTCTATTATTTAAGTTTAGTCTTTGCTTTTCTTCACTTTTTACTCGCGTCTTCTGCGCTCGTCTCTTCGGAGACCGGCTTTCATTTTCGCATCGCTTACATTTATTCATGTATCCCCTAAACTGCATCCTCACATCCAACCTCCTTATTTTTATACATTATTTTCTCTGCCTCAGCTCTGGGATCTCCCCTTTTTTATGGGGTGAGAAAACTCAAGATTTATTTTCGTAAACTGCATGCTGTGTTTCTGGTTCTACTGCCAATGTTGATGTTTTAGCTGTTTCATTTAGTTGTTGTTCATGTGGTGGTTGTCTACTCCTTTATCCGATCCGATGCTTTTGATGTTTCTCCTCTTGATTTTCCTTCGTCCTTGGCTTTTCCGCGTACACCAGGCTTGCTCTCACTCTCGTCCAATTTATATAGTACTCAAATGGGGTACTAGTATATTATAGCTAGAAGAATTAAAGCTTCAATTAGTATAATTTTATTCAGAATTTGTTCTCATGGAGAATGGGTAAGGTTAAAAAGAAATCCTTTAAAACCACAGGGAAAAGTTTAAAGCCGGGATACATGCAGGGGTTTTACATGAGCAATGAATGATATTTACCTAGTATGGATTACCAGTGATTAGACTGCTTAGTAACTATACTATATAAGAAATAGAGCCATGTTGTTGTATCGAAAAGAAGCCGCAGAAAGTTGGTAAAGAAAATAAACAGAATACACTTTTTTAGAATTAAGTGAAATTGGTTTGTAATGAACAGATTTGAAGCAAACAGGCAAGCAACAACAAGCAGAGCACACATAACACATGAAGCCGATGATTGTCAGTGTATATTTGTGTGTTGTTTGTATGTGCAGTGTTGAAAAGTGTGTTTAAGTGTTTAAAAAAAGGATGAATCCTTAGGCGTTTACGTAAACGGAAAGCTCAGAGTAAATGCAAATGAAAAACGCCGAGTGAGATGATCGTTTTTGGGGTGAAATGGGCTCAAATGGTGGAGGATTACAAGAGCTATGAAAGCAAAGAGCATACATGCAAAGAAGTGTTGGTAAGCGCAGTGTGTTCTGGTGCTGAACATTTAAGCTTTATCCCTAAGGTTTCTTATTTAACATGTACATGTATTTGGAAATTTTGTTCTTCAACCTTATAACGTTTTTGTTTTTGATTTTATCATTTCCAATCTTTCTAAGATTACTTAACTCCTTACAGAATACCGTTACTTATGTATTCTACTTGAATTAATTATTGTATTATAAAGTACAAATTTAAAGATAAAAGTAGCATTTAAAATAGGAATATTAATCGGAAATATAATGCAAGTCTTTATACTAGAACATTTTTATTTCAAAAATTAATTGAACTTTAAATAAATATTACGTTACTGAAAGATATGACAGAATTGTTTGCAGTTTTCAGGTAATTTAATTGAAGTAATTAAATCTTGAAAATATCAAATAAGTTTTAAGTTAAAGAAAAATGCAATTGAAGGGTTTTTGGGTAAAAGCTTTATGGCCATAGCGGAGTGGGCAGAGATTGAGAAGCATACAACTTAGAGGCAGGGGATGTAGAGCCTGTGAAACTGTGACAGAGACAGGATCAGAGAGATGACAGTGGCTGAGAAGACTTCAGTTTCACTCACCTCGCGAAGACCTATTTAGGAGCGGCTTGATGTGGATACTGTGTGTATGCCTCGTCGGGTGATGCAGCTGTGCTAGCCTGTTCGGAATCTGTCATTGGCATTGTTGGTATAATAGTTGGTGGTGGTGCATAATATGGATAAGTTGGACTAATGTACTGTAACGATGGAGAAAAGTTCTATAAAAGAAACCGAAGAAACGAAAAAAATACAAAAATAAATCCAAACAAAAAATCAATCGAAAGCAAAAGGAAATTAATTGGAGTAAAAGAAAGGAATAGAAAAAGTACAAATTGAGTATCAACGTTCAATATTAAACACACACAGCTCATACTAAAAAGATCGCACAATCAAGGATCTTAAAAGTGTAGATTGAGCTGGGAACTCTGTTTCTTTCTTTTCAATCCACATGGATTCAAACAGACATGCACATGTCAAATACATTACGGTCATGTGCATATCTGCGTCTAGGCAAGGAAACTCGAAAGAAAGAGTCTTGAGTCTCGAGTTTTTGGAGGAGTTCAGAGAACTGTGGCTTACAGAGTTGCCAATCTGCAGGGTGGCCAACTGAGGCATCATCGTTCCATATGGCACGCCCGTATCGCCGCTGACCATCATCGAGATGCCACGTGGCTGCACCTGGTTCACCGCCTCTGGTTTGTACGAGGTCACTCCTAGTTGAGGGGCGGCCGCCATTTGCATGTACTGTGGGGAGTAGTAGGGCTGATAAGTAATAGTTTAAAGTTCAAAATAACCCCGCATGGCACTGGAATAAAATTACCGTTGAGCACGACAATAAGCATTATTATAAACATATATTATAACATCTTTCATTTTTATCACCTGTATTATATATCTAAAAGTTTATTCGCTTGGTATACGTGAGGTTAAAGTTGGTAAATAAATATTTTTATGTAGTTCAATTTTTAAAAATATTATATTTCATAATAATTTACAATTATTAAACTATCTCTGTAGACTTTGTTATTTTACCGTAAATTAATATTTTCTAAATCACAGATTAGTGACAATAATGCTTTAAGTTGGTACCCTTTTTTATTTAGTCCAGTGCCAATTACCCATAATGGAAGTAACTCCACTACTCACCTGATCATCTACCTGAGTGATCGGCTGGGTCATCATGTAACCGGGTATCCATTGGGAGCCGGCCACTGGATAGCCACCCACCTGGGGGGCGCTGAAGCGGGAGTAGGGCACTCCGATGGGCGTGCCGACGTTCACGCTGACGCCGTTCTGCTGCATAGTGGGGTCGTAGGCCACGGGAATCCCCTCCGCGGAGACGTCGCGCCACGCACGCGCATTCGGATCGGGCGTCTTGAAGAGATTCTTCTTTTTGGGTCCGCCATCGGCGAACTTCACCAGCAGGGGATCTTTGGCACCCGGTATTGTGTTACCATTAAACATCTGAATGATTTGCTCGCACTTCTCGCGACTCTCCATACGGGCAAAGCCAACGCCTAAGGGAAAGATATAAGATATAATTACTTTATGATTTTTTAAGAAATCTTTGCAATCACGGTTGCCACTTGAATAAATTAGAAAGTAACTATGTATATTGAAAAGGCATTAATGAAATTTGAAGAAACTTTATTATTAAGCCTTTTAATAAAATTTTGCTCTAATATTATTTGAATAATGATTTTAATTACCCAACGATTATTCTCAAAATACAAACAAATTTTAATTTTTGTTTATTATATTTAATAAGTTTACTATCGCGGTTTGGTTTTACCAATATACAATATAATTTGAATAAAGAATTTCTAATTTAATGTCTATTGTGGCAATCATGTTAAATAAATTTCTACTCACCCTTGGAGTTCATCTGCTGATCACGCAATATTCTGGTCGAAACAACTTGTCCATATTTCGATAGCATTGCCTCCAGATCAGTTTCTTTGAAGTGGGGCGGCAAATTTGCAATATACAAATTTGTGGGATCCTGTTCCTGTTGCTGTGTGGTTGTTGTATGCAATTGGGTCAGATCAGGGTGGTGTGGTGTGGTCGATTGACGGTTGTTGATTGTTGATTGTGGACGGTTGTTGAAATTGAATCGGTTTAGTTTGATTTGTTGGTTTGTTTGGTGGGTTTTGTTGGTTGTTTGTATCGGTTTCACACAAATTAACGTTACACAAAAGCAGTTGGCGTAAGCATGTGTGTTTAATTGGTGTGCGTATGCATTTTGATGTGTGTGTTTTGTTGTGTGAGTGTGTGAAGTTGTTGCGATTGTGTGTGTTTTTGTTTTATTTTGTTGAGAGAGAGGGGAGTAGAGAAATTAAGAACGTAGAGATTTTGTCATTAGTAAATATTCAAGTTTGCTTGCCAAAAATGTTTCTGTTGTCAACTCTTTTTGGACTGTTTGTCTGTTGTCAGTGTGTTAGTGTGAGCGTTAAGTGTGCCTGACTCTTGCGAAAGTGTATGTGTTTGTGTGGATGTTATGTAATGCCTCAGACTTATCGGAGAATACCTTATGCAAAAAGTAATCCTACGGAACTTTTACCCCCTGAAGATGCAGTGTTTTTTCTTTTCTCAACGATGCTTAATACATATGGCAAAACATTGATACAACCATCGATGGTACATACTTTTACCAATTGGAATAGATAATTATAATCATTTTATTCAACATTAAAAAAAAATGTTCAAAACAGTGTTGAGTATTTCATTCATTTTTTGACTTAATGATATATTATAGATATATATCATCGAAGTTTTGATCATCAATAATTCTGATTGTCATTATATAATGGATTCATCTTTAATTTTGACCAATCTCTAAAATATTTGCAATCGATGGTATCTAAATCGATGATTTGCCATCTCAAGTGCTTAATTAAGTTAAATACCTGCTCAGTAATTATGTCTTAAGGTTTAATGAGATCTGTTTGATTGTTATACTTAGAGTTTAGATTGTATTTGGTTTTTGGTTTGATTTTTGGCCGGCACAGGTTTGTAGCAATTTGCGTACTCAAACAACAAACTTTTGTAGTAGGTTGAAGTAGTAGAGGTTGGTTATATACTTGGCTGGCTATAACTTCAAAATACGAGTATACAGTTTATACAGTTGAATATACAGATTCAATATATATAGAATATCAGATATGAAGAGAGATATACGCTAGTTGTACTGAGTCTATTGTGTGTGAGTGTTGTTCAACTCTATGGATTACAATCATTAATGCCTACGCAAATACGTGTGTGTGGTCTGTGTTTTATTTGTACAGCAAACTTTTCATTATTTCGTTGGCTATGTTTTTTTAATGAGCATTTAATGCCATCGGACTATAACATTGGGGAAAGCTAACGAGAGGGGAGTGAACAAAGTTGCTAAGCTCTTCGAATGAAAAACTTTTTGATTTGTTTACAAAATATTAATATGCACGAATGAATGACCAAAATTTAAATTGATGCCAGGTCCAGCTTCCGTAAGCCGCTGTAAATGGCTGCTAATTATTAATTGAGATTAACGATTAAAATATTGGGATGTTTGCAATGTTCTCCTTAAAGAAAATCGGGGAAAGAGATAAAATTTTAATTTGACTCGGTCTACTTAAACCGATAAGTTATTTAACTAAAATCTACTTAAATTTAGAATCTATGACCCAATTTCCCATTTAGGAACTAAGCTACAATATTTCTTAGAAATAAAAATACATGAAATATGAGTTAACAAATTAAAACAGCGAGTCTTTTCTTTCTAAATCGCAGAACAATTGAAAAAGTAAAAAAAAAAATAAGCTTGTTAAACATTAATTTTATACAGAACTCTATTACAATGAATTCAGTTCAATAACAATCTATTCAAATTTAATTAAATCTAAATACCCATTTGGATAGAAAAGGAAGAAGTAGTATTATATTATGTAAAGTTTAGACAAAATCTATGTCTAGTCTACCTTGATGAATACGGCCTGAGCTAATAATGATTTTATTGGGGTTTGTATTGGATGTACTGCATTCTATTGATGTTCAAATACCTTATGTTAAAAGGTTTACACTAAACTCTAAATATACCTGTACTGTGTACGCTTAATGCAATTAATTTACCAATCAAATCCGCTAAAAAACTTTAATTGTTCTCACTTAATGTCATTATTATGGGGGTTCATTTTTCAACTGCTAGGGAAGATTAAAGAGAAGGATTATTTATTTTATGACTTTCAGCTTCATAAATATGAACTAATGACTGCCATTAATAAATGCATTTATTCTCAATTAATATGGAAATGTATACTAAATGTGTTACGCTATCAATTAAACTACCTCTATGCAAAGAAAGACAAAAACAAAGGAATAAATCTAAAAATTTTTGTTGAGGTTTACTAAAAATATGTTTTTGTCTATATAGTCGGTAATAGAGATATTATGTGTGGTTTTGGTATACGACAAACGGTTATACAAAGAGAGTCTTTGGAACAACACTACGAACTAGAGGTTGGGGTTGGCTTTGGGGGTTTCGGATCGGGGTTTCGAGGTGGGAAATTAAATAAATAAAGATAAGAAAAAATACAGAAATACACACCCTGCGGTGTGAGAAAGTAAATATTTTTAGCGCCTCGTTTAGCTTTATTTAATCTGAGAAAATGGCTTCTCAGGATTATTTTTTTAGGCTCTATATTCATGCTCACAAAAACTCTGCCAAATCAAATATATACCATAGTTAAAGGAACACACAAACTGATAATGACTGAGATATTGTGATTATATATATCATTTGATTTTCACATTTTAGAGGTATTGATCATGCCAACTTTATAAAACAATAATCTAAAGGTTATGGGAATTTAACTTATCCATAACATTATGGAGTAATATTTTTTTTCGGCATCTTTTTTATGAGCATGAATACTGGGGCCTTAATCGAAAACTAATTTCAGTTTTAACGAAACTAAAATAACAAAGGTTGGAGGCAGCTTATGGGTCAGTACAGTAAACGAAATGCAAAATATGACTGGGGAAGGAAGATGGGATGGGGCTTTTGGGCTAGTTTTTTTTTTGGGGGGGGGAAGGATGGGACACTTTTGCGGTGTGTGGGGGGTGAGTATTACTTGCATGCAAACAAACGTACAATGGCCGGCCTATGAAGCACCCAGATACCCACTTTGGCCATCTGAGCTTGCACGCCCTTCCCCTGCAATCCTTTTACGGCGCACTCGGCGAAGGCTGGCTGCTCGAAGTCGACGAAGCCGTAACCTGCAAAAAAGCATATTTTGTTTTTGTTTTTCGTTGTTGTTTTTGTTTATTTTTTTTGTTGTTTGTTTTTGTGTGTTGCGGGTGGGGGGAATTTTATTTTTATTTTTTTTAATTGCATGTATAAATATATATATAAATATATTTGCAGAGACAGAGAGAGAGGAAGAAATGTTTATTTATAGTCCAATATTTGGTTGGCACACAAAACGCAAATTGTAATTGAATTCAATCAAGAGACGAAAAAATAATGCGAGTTTTTGCATTGGGTCACGGTGCAACAAAAACAAAATCGAATAAAAACAAAATATTCGTTTAACGAAAGAAGAGGGATAGAAGAAAAAACGGGTGAAAATTAAATTAATAATTAATTTGATTCAACTTAAACACTAACAAACAGAATCTCGTTAAAAAATTCCAAAAGCAAGTAAACCAAACTAGTACTGAATAAAAATATATTTATATCGATACACGCACAAACATTGATAGAGAGCAGTCTTTCATGGATACACTATTTTTACAGCTTGTTCAGTTATCGGGGTATTTACATATTATCGTAATCGTTATTATTAGCAATAGTTGAGTGCATCAGTAGCAGTAGATAGTATTTGTAATAGTAGAGTGAAATGCATGAATGACACGATTGCGAAATGATTAGGAATCAAACTCAAAAACTTAAAATCAGTAAAAGGAAATGAAGTAAAAACTGCCAATACTTTATTAGAAAAATTAATTTAAAAAAATATTTTTATATATTGAAACGATAATAATAAAACTTCATACAATAACGAACGAGCGGTAAATTGTGATAAATTTAACAAAAATAAATTATAATGCTGAGCGTTCTTCGAAATTTTCTAGTTTAAAATCAAGACAAAATAGTTTTGAAAAATAAATTATAATAATGATAAAGAACCCTACTAATACTAAATAAATAGAATATTATTTATTTTTCAAAAACACTCAGCGACAACGTAAGAAATTAATGAAATTTCAGTTTTTGGTTTGTTTATATTTTCTTTTCTTGCGTTTCTTTTGGATATCTTTTTTTTACATAAACACATACTAATAATACTTATACAAAAACACACATAAATAAAATAATGATGAGAATGGTGAAGAAAAAAATACCTTTACATTTGTTTGTTGTTTTATCTAAAATAGCCTTGGTTGATATAATTGTTCCGTATCTGAAAGTTGCAAACAAGAGGAAAAACAGGTGGGTTAAATATGAACTTGTATTAAAAGGACAATGGGATTTCGTTGCATGACAACGACTGCAAAGAATGGATAATGTATAATCAGATTATAAACACATTCAGGACTCTCAGGGTGTCGTTGTGTGCGTGTCCGGTGCCACGTGCCACAAAATATATATTTACTATATGGCATCGGGGCCAAGAGTTAGGGGGTTGCTCGGTGCGACCCCTTGCTAGTGGCTCTGATTGGGACGGGTTTACCTTACTATAAGCAATTAAAGTGTCATTAAAATGCAATTTTTATGCTCGTGCGCGCCAAAGTAGGCAATGGAAATTTTCACAACCCTTTAGCTATCGTTTTACCATTTCCTAGGGCGTTACATTGCTCATTTATGCCTGGTAATAATTGACTTAGTCCGTGTGTATTGCCCCTTTGGCTGCCGGTTGAAATTAAATCGATATCTTCTTAGTTACACTAGTTTTCCCCTACCCTTCGCCTCCTAAATACTTAGTTATAATAACATTAAAACCCCGCAACCCCCGCCCTTGCCGACTAATAAGCCGCTTATTTTGATTGCCTTCAGCAGCAGGAGAAAAGGACGCTGTGTGGTAAAAAAGCAAAATAAATTAACCTTCAATTTGATTACTTGACTTACAGGGAGGGAATTGGATCCAACCCTGCCTTTCCATTGCGTTTTTATGTTCGTGTGACGCCGCAAATAAGTTGTTATTATGCATAAAAGAAGAAATGGCCAACAGAGCGTATGCGTAATACACACATAATAATAAGTTTAGTTTGTTGGTACACCACAAAAATGATTTCCTTTTTGGATACCCAAAAAAAAAACCTGAATTTTTGTTTGATAAAGCGTACGCACTAATTAGTGGATTTTGTTTAGTTTGCAGAAACTTGGCCTCGTCCATCAAGAAGGTCAGGGGTAGTTGCTTTTTTGGGGGTTACTTTTGGGCCGAAGGATAAAGGAGGGGGGTGGCTTTATGAAAACGCAGCCAGGCGGAATGGACTGAGGCTAAGCCGCTCATTAGCAGAGGGGTTTGGGGGAGGTGGAGCGGATAGAACGGATGGAAATGGATTTCGGGTTCCGTTCCGTCCCAAACGCACACACTACATCACTCTGTGGGGGCAAATCAATAGTCGGTCACAAACATTTCGAATTAGTTCATTTCGTATGAATAGCATTTTGTGTGCCTGATGAGGCACCAAAATTACAAGCGTATCTGAGAGATACTGCTGAGAAAAAAAAAACTGGCGACCGAATCGGATACATTTTCATTTTACAAATGTATTCCGTGTCGGAAAATTAGTGTAAGCATCTTAAGGATAACTGAATCATTTCCATTGAAGAGCTCAAAAGAAAGTTATCTTTCTTGGTTTTTCAAATAGTAAGCGGAAAATCTTTCAAGATTTGATTTTGTATTTTAAATGAATATTTAAAGAGAATTTTTCTTAAACTTATATTGCCTTGACCTCCTCGAACACCCTAGCAAAACAACTTTTTAATGGAATATTTTGTATTATATTATTCCATCAATAAATGGCTTTTCCCATTCAGTTATTACGTTCAATTAAAATTGACGTACATGCTTCTTGCTCGAGAGCACCAGCCTTGGTTGCTCAAAGGCATCAGCATCTAGCAAATACATATATTGCAGCCGGGTAAAAGCCTTGGGCTGCAAAAACAATTAAAATGAATTTGCATAATGGCCTGCCCAAGGAGATGTGTTAGATATAATGCAATTTGATGTGATAGGTGAACCGCAGAGACAAGTCACAAGACCACAGGGCATGCACACTCACAAATCACTGATAGTCTTGATTGTACCCATATTTGAATCTGATTTGAATTGCAACGCAAAAAGGTGGTTTGGGTTTGGTCTCAATTTTTTTCGACACCCAAAGCACATGTCCTGGTACTCACTGTGCACACATATTAACTAGATCCTTGTCGGTTGTGCCCTGCTGCAGTCCGCGAATGTAGAGATTTGTCTTGGACAACTGCTCGCCGCCCTGTTGGTTTTGATTCTGTACCGTGCCGTTGGGACCCATGTTCGTGTTGGTGTTCGTCGTGTTGCTCAGGCTGGTGCTCAGCGTGCCGCTCTGGGAGCCCGTGTTCGAGGAGCTGCTCGAGTTGGTGTTGCTCGGTGAGGCTGCCGTCGGCACTCGCTGACCGTACTGCAAAAGAATGGAGAAAATATTTATAAATATACATTTTTTTTAAACTTGGCTCAGAAAAATATTATGTTTTAAAGGTGGCGATGTTATGATTTTATCCTGATATTTCAAAAATTAATGGGAAAAACTTTTCCATTCTCTATTTTCGGCATTCTTAGACCTGTAAGTTATTGTTTCGTTGACTTTTCAAGATATTCATAAAACTTTTTGTAGATTTTCAGATTTTATTTTTGGAAATGGGAGATGATGGGAATTGTTTTGTAAACAATTTTTGTAACATCATCAACAAAGTTTTATAACGATTTCAAAGATGCTTGCCCACCTTTCCGTTAACCAAATGATAGGTGGTTAAGGGCCCAAAACTCCTTTGCTTCCCACAGCTTTAGGCAATATTAAAATGTATAGAGCAAAAGTATGTCGATAATATTAAGCGATTTGGCTCCCACTATCTATGGATGGAGAGTGGACTAAAGGAAGAGCGACAACTGGAGGCAGTGCAAGTATTTTTATTGAAATTCCAACTGAAATAGCTGCCATTCGAAGTTATTGAATGCTGCTTGGCTCAGCTCACACAATGGATAGAGATGGGGAAAGCTATGTAGATAGAGACGGAGAGATGGGGCTAAGGAGGCATGCAGATAGAGCGAGGTATGAAGGTAGGTTCAGGGAAAGAAAGGGACAGGCACATTGGCATGTCGACGACAGTCCTGACGATGGCGTTTTTCACTTAAAATGCCACACATGTGCCAGAGGGACACGAATAAAGAAGGAGACGAAGCTCGAGCTTTGCATATAAGGCTGCAGGATATTTGGCAGCTGCATTCGAAGGCGTTGAAAATCTATAAAATTTGTATGCAACAAACAATGGCTCCACACTCACATACACACAAGTCCTACAAACTTTGCCATTGATACATTTTTGAAAATTTGCCAAAAACATTATTTTATTCGCACAGCAGCAGCAGCACATCAGCGGGAAATGCTAAAATATGCAACCAAAAAAAGTTTCACTGAAAATTTCCAAAAACAAATTTAAAACCGACAATCAAGCAGACATTTTTTTGTTGAATTTTTCTTTTGTTTCAGGTTTAGGGGCTTTGAAAAGTTTTAAGCCAGCCGCAAAATCCATTTGCATGGAAGCCACTGAATGCGCGGGGTTGACTGGGTTAGGTTGAAAAAGAGCTCGCTAATTGATCCGTGTCATGATGGCCCCTCGCTTGTGGCTAATACTTCCGTAGGTCACAATTTGATTTATAAAAAAAATGTAAATATGCAGGGGTGGCAGCAATCAAGTGGGATTTATAAAAACGTATTTGCGTATAGCACAGAATCAATTGGTGTTTTCAAATTTGTGTCACTGTTATTAATTACTTTCTGTTATTTAAAAAAAAGTAATGCAATTTGAGAGAGAGAAAGCAGTTACCTTCAAATAAAATTTTAAACGACTGCAGTTCGCATTTTTAAATTTAAGTAAGTACATTTTGTATCCAGACAAAATAAAAGTTGATATTATTTGAGTATGAAATGCAAGCTGTTTAAGCATTTCAACCTGACAGGCAACTGAGAATAACTATACAATTTAAAGTTTTTTTTGTGATAGTACTTCTGTTTGATTTCCTCAAAAAACTCTGTGCTTGGCTGATAAAGTTTACTCCACACATGTTTCTTTTTTTTGTATTTTTTTTGGATTTATAATCAGACGTGAAAGTCACGCTTCGGCAAGCAACCAACACAAATCATAAACACAGCTCTTTCGCTATCTCTGCGCCAAGAGTCCAAATAAACTTAGACTCCCCAAACTCATTAAGTTACTCCACAGACCCAGTCTAGAAAGATACATTTTGTACAGTTTTCCTACGAAATTGCTTCCTTTCTTCTCTCGTATGCAAAATATAATTAAATAATAAATTCAGACAGCAATTTTTGTAGTCAGCAATTGTTTATCTGTCGCTGTGTGCGCGTGTAAGTATGCGAATATACTTGAGCCAACACTCATACGCCCTGTGTGCCAATGAACTTTTCTCTCTCGGCTTTTTGCCACTTTATTGCTATATGCTCACTGCCTCGTTGCTTGTCTGATAATGAAATTATATCGTTCTAATAATTTTATGCGCACAGCAACGACGGACAATCCGCATAAACTACAAATTATATACTATATAATTTATATCATGGTGTATCTGCGTATTCTTATGTGTGTCACGCCAAAATGAGCAAACGACAACTTGGCTGCCTTTTTATATTATTAAATTTTCTGTTCGTCGGCTTAACTTTTTATTGTTGTCTTTATTTCTAGTTTTTTGTTTTTTGCCAAAAAAAAAAAAATTGCGTCATTTGCAAAAAATTTCACGCTGCCAAATCTGCGCGGTTTTTCGCTTTTTAACAAGTTATTTGGTCCTCCGTTTTGTCGGCTCTTTCGCAAGATATTTTTCTCCTTGTTTCTCATGCTTTTCTGTTGATTTTTGTGGCCCACACACGTGTAAGAGACTTTGTCCAACTGTGTTTGAGTAAAAGTTTATGCACATTAGCACGGTAGTTGGGATATGTTAACCTCTTTGCCGCTCCGCTGTTATTTATGCGCATTTAATTTGTTTACTTATTTATTGCATTTGCACGAAGCGACAGCGAAACAAACTAAAAATACAATTTAATGGCATAAGCTAAACTTTTTGATTGCGAACCGGCAGCGATGGGACACAACGAGAAATGATGTCGTCGTCGATTCGATTCGATGACGATGACGATGCCAGAACACGCAATTGTTAATGGCCTGAACTTATGACTGTTCGTTTGTTCTTCCATTTGGGTTTCACAAGATTAGACAAAGGTTTCCTTGGGGGCGGAGTTGAAGGGTTCATGGGCTTTGAGAAAACGGGGGTTTGAAACTTGGAGGAAATGGCCCTTAAAAATCGATTATGAAGATTGACAGCTGACATAGAATAGTGCTTAAGTCTCTTTAGTTAAAAGTAAGTAGGTTAGTAGGAATGGAATAAAATAGATCAAAAATAAATAATTTAAAGATAAATCAGAACTAAAGATATAATACATTTAAATAGATCGAAAAATAAAACAAATAAAAACTCAGAAATAATATTTCGAGAAATATCTTCGTTTGATTTAACAAAAGTAAAATTTTTTTTTAATTTTAAATAAATAATGGATTTTGAGCACTATAAAATCAAGATATTATAAAACACTTTTTGCACAAGTGACATTTTCTGTGATTAATGCCCTACCTATTTCAATCAAAACATCTCCATGCTAACACATCTATTAAGAAGCCATCAACAATTATTAGCCGCAAAACCTCCAAAATTCATTCCGAGAAACTGAAGCTAAAAGATCTCCGAGATCCGCTTGAAAGAGTCACGTGCCAGAAAGTGTGAAATACCAAATGGACTTGTGTTTGATTTATGATGTCGCCACGACAAGAGCGCCACACATAAAATATAATTCACTTAAGCCGAGCGGAGTCTTTTGGCTTTCTTCGGGGGGTCTCTCAGCCCCCTCCTGCCCCTCTAACCCCCTTCCCAGGGGCCTTCACTAATAAATCAAAATGCGAAGACCAAAGACGCATACGAAATGGAGTGCACTCATTCTCAGTCACTAAATCAGTCGCCGCATAAATCCACTCCGTCATGATTAGTGACAGATATTATTTGTCCAAGTGCTTGCCACCCTGTCAAATTTGGTTAGGTTTGTTAGGTTGAAATCTAGCCAAAATCCAAAAACTTTGGGTGCCCGAACTCTAAAAATATGTAGAACACGACTGGCCATTGACCCAATGTGAAATGCGGAATTATGGGAGTCAAATTAAAGCCGGCTGCGTGTCCGCTTTCGATTCGAGACGTTTCTATTACTCGAGCGGATTTCATTTTGAGGAACCCCTTTGGGAGGGTTGCAAAACTCATCAAATCAGGGAGCCAATTCCAGCATTTCCTCTGATTGGGGAGGGTTTGTCTCATGGAGAGCCACATAAAAAATGCCTTTCACGTGACTTATATAAATTAAATGCGTTTTGGGTTCCCAATTGGAAGCTGGCATGAAACTGATAGATGGATAGATGAATTCATCTGCTGCTAGACAGGAAATGTTAGGCGTCAGATAACAGTCAGCAAAAACCGCCCAAAAAGGGGGTGTTGAGAGATTTCCCCATCCCAATAATCGACGCAAGTCATGCCTGGGGTTTCAGGGGTTAAAGGACGCATTTTCCTCTGCAAATATTTTACATGCCAATGGCAAGGAATTTGGAATCATCTGCAGGTGAAATTTTATTCGGAAAATGATAAAAATTGATGGCATATTCTCAACCCCCTTCTCCTCTGTCAAAAATTAATAAAACTGAAGTATTTTTTTATATAATTAATTTTGGCAAGAAATTTTCCATTTTTAATTATAGGTAGTACTTTCTAGCAGTTCATTTTTATATTTATTACGATTTTATAATGGCTTTGTTCTTTTGTTTGACCAGACCAAAAAAAGGTCATTAAACCCGACCTTCAAACAAAAATAAAGTTGTATAAGTTATCTGGGCTAAAAAGAGCTGCTCACAAACTTATTTAATCATCTTGATAAGACTGTAATTGCCTTTGTGTATGAATCCAATCAAAGAAAATTTATGAATTTCTTCCAAGAAATTGTATGCAATTTCTAGCGACCCCATAAATTAGTACATACTCAAGTTCATTTTAAAAATAAATGTTCTTGTGCGCAGCAATGCAAATATTGTTTTTATTGAAACTTTTCATATATATTTATTTCTGAGTTTCAGTTGATTGTAAATCCTCTCAAAAATAAAAATCAAATTATACATTTGCGGCAAAAACAAATTCAGTTTTTCTTTTCTGCTTTGTAATATTAAGTTTTTTATTGAATCCTAGTTATTGCCACATTGTTGAGTTTAAAGTTGACACTCTATGGACAAGTGGTGTTTTCCTTACTGCTTTTCAATAATTATACCTGGGTAAATTTGCAAAAGACGACCCTAAAAGTATATAACT